AGGCGCTGCGCGCTACGACTTTGACCGCTTTGGCATCATCTTCCGCCCCAGCCCCCGCCAGTCTGACTGCATGATTGTGGCGGGCACGCTGACCAACAAGATGGCGCCCGCGCTGCGCAAGGTGTACGACCAGATGCCCGAGCCGCGCTGGGTGGTGTCCATGGGCAGCTGCGCAAACGGCGGCGGCTACTACCACTGTGAGCGCCTCCGCCCGCCCTTGCCTCGCCGCCCCACCACCAGCTGGCGCCACGCCCTGCCTCCTGCTCCCTCGCCTTCACCCCGCAGACTCGTACGCTGTGGTGCGCGGCTGCGACCGCATCGTGCCCGTGGACATCTACGTCCCCGGCTGCCCTCCCACCGCGGAGGCGCTGCTGTACGGCATGCTGCAGCTGCAGAAGAAGATTGGGCGCACCAAGAAGACGCAGGTGTGGTTCAACAAGTAGACGCTGTTGTCGTCTGGGGCCGGGCTGGAGCGTGCTCGAAGGTGGAGGATCCCATCTAGGCGCCCAGCATCCTGCGGATGCGGGCATTGAAGTCCCCCAGCAATTGTGTATGGCTCAGGGGCGGCAGGCCCCTTCATTCTGCGTCTGCATTGTGCGTTTGCGTGGAGCTTGTATCTCTGTCGACTCCTCCCTCAAGCAGCTGCTGAAGCAGCTTTGCACCACACTTTCTGCTCCTCCCTTCCGGCCGTCATTCTCCCGCTTTCCCTAGCAAGGCGCCGTGTAATAATGGTCACAGCAGCAAGAAGAGGGGTACGGTCCAGCAAAATCAGACAGACATCAAAGAGGGCGCTGGGCAAACAGTTCGAGGGCAAGGCATGGGGAAGAGAGCAAACGAAAGCAAGAAAAGCAACATAATGATGGGGTCATGCACGTCGCCTGATTGATGTGCGGCAATGCTGCAGCGGGCCATCACGGCGGCGCTGGGAACCGAGCGTGGCCTCACACCGCCTGCTCCAGCGCCTTGGCCACCGCGATTTCCATGTCCTGCGCGCTGAGCTCGTTGTCGGGGTGCGCCTCAATGCGTGCCAGCAGCTCTGCGGCCGGCAGGGGCAGGTCCAGCCACGGAACAGGTCAGCAGGCGCGAGTCGCAGGCAACGGCCTTGCAGCGGCAAGCTGCAGGCACTCGGCAAAGCCCACCTGTCATGAAGAGCATCAGCTCGCGGGGCGTCGTCAGCTGCAAACGCATGTCAGGCAACAGGGTGGTGACCTCCATGTCTGCGTCCCACCTCTGACCCCAAACTGCCCCACCACCGCCCTGCAGTCGGACAAGCCTGACAACCCTCACCGCCGCCGCCGTACCTTGGAGATGTACGAGGAGAAGTCCTCCACCTTGATGGCGTTGAACAGGTCGGCAAAGCTGTGCAGCTGCTTGTCCTCCACATGCACCTCGCCGCCGCCCGAGCTGGCGCTGGCGCTGGTGCTGTTGCGGCGAAGCTGCTCCATCTGCAGCATGACCGGGGGCAGTGCAGGGAGAACTGAGGCAAAGCTTGCAGAGGGTGCCTGGCCCCGTGCCCAGGGGGCAGGGTCCAGAGTTTGGCACCACAGCGCCAACTCGCCCCCACCTGCGCCGCCATGAAGCGCCGCTCTGCCAGCTCCTCCAGCTGGTGCCGGCTCCACTGCAGGTCCCGCACAAAGTGGCGGTCAAACCGCGCCTCCTGTAGGCAGGGGATGCAGGTGGGTGTGCGGCAGCTGTGAGGACCGGTGCTTCCCAAAGTGCGGCCACCCTACCACGTGGCAGCGCAGGCGGCAGGCGGAGCCCCATGCATGCGTGCGTTTGAGGCCTGCCTTGAGCGTCTTGTCTGTGTTGAGGTCCAGTGAGAGGCGGGAGTCGGGGAAGAACAGGTGCATTCGACCAAAGCTGAGCATGTCGTTCTTGCACACCTCACGCGCAAACACCTTCAGCGCGCCCGGGTACAGCACGGGGTCAAGCAGCACCACCTGCAGGGGCGATGGTGGGGAGTGTGGTGGGTGGGTGGGTGTCTGCTCAGGCGGGGAGGGCTGTAGCATGGCCAACTAATTGCATGCAGAGGGCAGGCCAGACCAGCCACCAGAGCGATCCTGGGCGCCGAGGGCCGTGCAAACGGTCGCAACCACAGGGCCGCCGCCACCGCTCGGCACGCACCTCGTCAAAACAGTCGCCAAACACGGCGAGCGATTCAAAGCCCAGCAGCCGCACCAGGCCGGACAGCAGGTCCAGCTTCTGGTGTGCCGACACCCCGATGCACAGCTGGCGGATGGTCTCAGCAGAGTCGTGGGAGCTGAACAGCGCGCCCAGCATCGCCGCGATCGTCTGCAGCTGCTGCTGCTTCACAACGCGCACCTGCAGCAGCGGACGCGGCACCAGCAGCTCGAGGGGCAGGGTGTGTGCCGCCGCTCACTGGCACCGGCACACCCATGAAACCTGTGCCTGAGTCCCCCTCATCCCACACGAACCCAACCACCCCTGCCAGCCCGCGCACCTGGCCGACGAGTGCCGCAGCTCGCCCCAGCCCGCTGGTGCGCGTGTGGCGGCGATACAGGTATGCGCCACCCAGCGCCGCTGTGCCTGCCAGCGCCAGGCTCAGCCGCGGGTGGTCTGTGAGGAAAGGGGCGTTGGCCTCCACCTCGCCTCGCACCGCCTCCAGCGGCCCCGACAGCAGGCCAGCCAACTCTGGGTTGTGGGACGCAATCGCGGTGCCTGGCAGGGCAGGGCAGGGCGGTGGGTGGGGGTTGCGACTGCCGCACATCGCAGGGAGCAGCGGCGGGCAGCGGCTCATGGGCAGGATGCCGGTCAGAAAGCAGCAGGGCGCCTGCGGCATAGCCGCCAGCCTCACCTCCCGCCAGCACGGTGCCGACGCCAGCCGCCGCTGTCAGCTGAAGCGCGGAGTAGCGTGCCGGCAGCAGCTTGGCGCGCAGGAAGTCGAGTGAGTTGGCGTCCGTCTTGGCATACAGGTGGGCCAGCAGCAGGAACTGCTTGGCGGCACGCGGGTCTGCGCCAGGGCGGGCAGCAGAAGCAGGGCGGCAGGTGAGGGTCGGGGGCCAGCAGTGGAAGGTTCTGCCACCACAAGAGAGAGATGCAAGGCGCTGTCAAAACAGTCCCCCCCCCCCGCCCCACACACACCCACCCACTCCTCACGTCCCACCCCTCACCCACCCGAGCGTATGCGCTCCAGCATGTCCATCCCCTCCACGCTGGCGGTGTCTGTCACCTCATCCACAAGGTGCGTGGCCGCATAGCTCAGCATGCAGTCCACCATGTCGGCAGAGGTCCATGCCTCGCTGAACAGCGCATCCCAGTTCTCGTCAGAGGCGCCCACGCGCTCCTGGAACTGGCGCAGGCAGCCGGTGAGGTGGCCGGGGCGGGAGAGGTCAATGACAAAGTGGCCGCGCGTCTTGCCAGAGGCGCGTGCCGCGTCGTTGTATGCCTGGTAAGCGCGCTGCATCTGCAGGCGCCCGGGGCGGGGGGTGGCGCGCGTGACCGCGGGTGAGGGTGGGAGGGGCTAGGCAGCACAGCTACCGAGGTTACAACGGCACAGCGCGAGGCCAGGATTTGGCTGTGCCCAGGAAGCAGGTGTGCAGGTACACTGCATGTGTCACAGACATGCAGCTTGCAGTAGACATGCATGCCTGCATGCGGATGGTGGTCTTGCCGCTGCCCCGGCGCCCAAAGAAGATATATGTTGTTTCTGCATAGGTGGGCCCAGAGCCGGCGTTTGAGACGTGGAGCGCAGGGGGGTGGGCAAGGCAAGGCCCAGGCAAGTATACGCACGCAGGGTCCTCGTGGGGGTGCCAGCCTAATAAGAGCACACCAGGACTCGCCTGATGGCTTGAAGCCTTGCAGGTCACTGTGGATGTAGAGCGACACATCATCGAGCTCCGTCTTCTCGGCAGTGCGGTCGACAAAGGGGTTGCGCGACAGGTGAAACTGCTTCAGCAGGTCGGTCTGGCGCCCGTTGCCGGGGCGGAGGCCCTTGGCGGACATGGTGGCGGGTGGCGGCAGCAGCGGTGCGCACTGTGCTGTGAGCACGAGGGGCTGGCGCTCGCCCCGGAAGCTGGGACACTACCAAGGAGCCCCTGGGGCACTGGCACAGCTAGGTGATGGTCACGGGGCTGCAGTTCCAGCGCACTGAGAGACTGTGTCCCCAACGCTCTCGGGGTAGGTGCGCAGCTTGCTGGATTGCCCAGCATCAAGGGTTGCTACGCCAGAAGCAAGCGGGAGAAGGGGTTGCCACGGCGGCCGAATGAGCGCCCCATGGGCTGAAAGAAAAGCTCATCCCTCGAGCGCTCATTACCGTGCACCGTGTAGGACACACCAGCTCACTTATTAGCCTTCCCCTGGCCGGCCAACAAAACCAAAAAACTGTGTCCGCGCTCCGCCACAATCGTCAGGCAACACGCACCACAGCCGTGACAGCGCAGGGGGACGACCCAGGGCTGCACAGCAGAGCGGCACGGGGCCGGCGCGCGGGCATGAGCGGGCAGGCCGCCAGGGCGCCGCCATCGGCGGCGGCGACGCGCCCTGACATTATCGACCTGTTGGACAGCGATAGCGAGGACAGCCCATTGGTGAGGTGTTTAATCATTGCGCCCAGGCCTCCTGGGCTGCAGATGATTTGTGAGACACGCAGGCTTCCACAGCCTGCATTTGGGCTAAGCGCCCACCCGATGTGCCACTCAGCGGATCATGCTGCCTGCCTTCTGCACCACGCCTGCCCTGCCTTGCAGCGCACCACTAGCGGCCGAGGTGCAGGGCCCTCCGGCCGTCAGGCCACAACATCAGGCCAGCGCAGGCAGCAGCAGCAGCAGCGGCGCCGCTCGGCTCCAGGGATGGCAGCAGCCGTGGGGGCACACGCCGACGTGATTGACCTGACGGGACCTGCGGCGGAAGCCGACCTGCAGATAGTGCGCAGCACAGTGCAGCGACTGCCAACGCGAGGCGTGAAGAGATCTCGCCCCACAGCGGCGCAGCAGCTGTCGCCCATGAAGCAGCTGCTGCTGCAGCAACTGCGCAACCCGCCACCGCCGCCGCCAGCGGAGCCCGAGCCAGAGGGCCCCAAATGTGGCATTTGCATGGAGGTGGGCGGCAGCATTGGGAGGGGAACAGAGGAACCTGCTTCCCCAGGCTCACCTGCAGCTCAGTCCAGCTACCACTAATTCGCCTGGACCTGCTGCCTTCGAACACATGCACACCTTGCCCCTTGCAGCCCATGGGCGGCAGCCAAGGCCGCCAGATGGCCAGCGGCAACTGCGGTCACGTCTATTGCTACGACTGCCTGGTAGCGGCAGTGCGCACGCAGGTGTGGGAAGCGTGCGATCAGCACAAGTTGTTGGAGGGCACGTCTGGCTTGCCTCTAAGGCTTGCCGCCTCCGCACCATTTATGCATGCATTCTGCTGAAAGGCTGGTGCTGCCATTGCTGACTGCTACTGCTGCAGAAGAAATGCCCGACGTGTCGAAAGGGGATGCAGCAGCGCCAGATCCACAAGGTGTTCATCAATACGTAATCCAGCCGGGCAGCGTCAGAGGCAAGCGTCCAAGGCAGGATTCCGCTGCTGCTGCTTGTATACAACACAATCCTACCCTGTTCCTGTCCTTCTGAGCGCGCTGCACAGCCCAGGCTGTAACCGGCCCTTCCTCGCCTGCTGCACCATATCCTGCATGGCGACCCCAGCCTGCTCATCCGCATGCGCCTGCTGCGCCTCTGCAGCGAGGTCATGCCTCGCTGTTGAATACGAGGGTTAGGAGAGCGAATTACACAGCACCGGTGTCATCACTAACACGTGTGCTGCATGAAGCTGCCAATGGTGGCAGCCCTAAGCGTCTGCTGCTGCGGTTGCTGCACGCGGGCAACGTCCTCCAAAACATGAAATCAGATGCCCAGCTTGGTGCGCCGCCAGTGCCGGCGCTTCGCATTGTAGCTGCAGAACCAAGGGGGGGCAAACATGGGGAGAGACTCAACCACAGCTGCCTGGAATGTGTGTTCGACCTGCCAGCATGTGGCAGCATAAAGCTGATGCGCAGGTTGCGGGACTCTCCAAGTGTGCCACAGGCTCCTGCTGCCAGCATCATGTCCCAAGCTGCCGTTGCCTCTTTGATGCACTGCCTGCTCAGTGCAGAAGTGTCCAGGATCCACCCAAGTTTGTGCAGCTGCCCTTGCTGACCCCCCAGCCCTCGTCAATGGTGGCACGCACCGGATGGTGTTGCCGGTCCTAAAGCGGATCCATGGGGGGATGGGGCGGTTCTGCCGCGCCTTGCGCGCCAGCTTCTTCTTGATGATGAAGCGTTTCTGGGACGGCTGCATCGGGAGGAAGACAAGAGAGGTTGCGCAGCCATCGACGGCGGCAGAGGCGGCGGGTGGCTCGCCCCTCCCCCAGCAGAGCGCTGCGCGCTGCTTTTGTTGCTGTGGCCACCTACTGCCTCTGCGCCGCCTTCCACACGCCAGGGCTGGCCGATTGGCACCCTGCCGGCCGTGCATGGGCCAGAGTCGCTGTCGCGCCCCAGGCGCGGCTGCTGCTGCTGAAACGGCTGCTTGCACCACCGCAACTGACGGTTTCACTGCCGGCCGGCCCAGCCAGCCCAGCGCCACCCCCCCCCCACGCCATGCCCCCGCATCGGCACTTGCACTGCAGGGGTGGGCTCACCATTTTGTCCGCTCCTCTGCCGCCAAGAGGACTGCAGCGGCCGCGCAGGCCAGCTTTGTTCGTCGTTGTGGACCCAGGACAGACCCGCAGCATGGCGCAGCAGAACACAAACTCTGCTCTATTGTGTGATCGTTCTGAGGTCTCGATGCTCTCTGATGTCTCAGGACTTGATGTGGCTGCTTTGCCGTCCCTGGTTGGTGGGCTCCCTGGGCTGTCCAGAGCAATGTCCTGCAGTGCTTTTGCCTTGAGGGTGGGGAGCCAGGATCCGACAGAACGAATCCAAAGCCACGTTATGCGCCAGGAAGGCCATCTCCCCCCAAAACAAGTTGCCGCCCGCCAGTGCCTCCTGCACTGTGGCTGGTCGCGTGGTTCCTGCAGGCAGCACCAATACGCAGGGAAAATCACAAGGGTACGGTGGGCTGCCAGCACACCTTCTGCACTGTGTGAGGCACGTTGCAGACAGAAGACGGTGACCCCACCCGACGGTGACCGTCGGGTGGCGGTACCCTCGTCTCTCAATTTGGGTGCGAGCACAAGGGTGTGTCAATGGGCACTGTTGGTGAAAGAATGAGGCAGGTTCGCCAATCTCTGCTTGGCATTTCCATAATGTTGTATGACGTGGGCCCTGGGCCGATTGAAGCCAGTCCAAATGTGTCACGATACTTGTGTGGTTACAGATGGGGCTTTGCAACTGGGGCGTGATAATATTGGTGCTAGGTGGTCAGTCAGTGCGAGGGTCAAAGGCAGTGTTTACAAGGCCGGTATGAGGTGCAAAGAGGCTGTATTGCCTTGTGAAATGGTCGGGCACCATGCAGGTGGTGCGCGCGATGGCACAATGCAGCTCCTCGTGAGGCCGGCAGCTGGTGGGCGCCCAACTCCGCCCTGTCGTGCTGCTGATTTGGTACAGTACGCTGCGCCCGCCGCAGCTGTTCACGATGTCGGGCCTGCATCCTGCGACGCTGGTCAGCACAGCACCGCTCGACAACACAGCTGCGCTGCCGGTACAACCCCAGTCGGCCTGCTTTGCTGCCCACCTGCCGCGCATTCAGTATGAGCAGACGCCATTGATAGGGCCGCGGATACGGCGGGCTAGCTGCATGTCCTTGGGCACTGCAGACAGCGGAGCAGCACCCAGCGTGGGGCCACGACACAAACTTGCATTGGCAATAGTCACACAAATCATGGAACATAACCAGCGAGGCATGGCATAACCAGCGAGGCATGGCACAGCAGGGACAGGGCTGGGCAGCGGCTGCGTACTGATGGTGACGCGCTTGGCGTGGATGGCGCACAGGTTGCAGTCCTCCAGCAGATGGACGATGAAGTCCTCAGTGGCCTCCTGGAGCGCAAGCAGGCCTTCTGCTGTCCATCGGAACGGCTCAGGCGCCACGTTGTTGGTGATCTCCCGCGCCTGCAGTGGGATGGCAGCCGTGGACAAGTGCACCGTAAGCATGCATGATGTCTCTGCTTGGTGGCAGCCGGCTCTGTTGAAAATGCTGCTGGCGGGGTGGTTGCCCAACTCTTGCATGCGCAACTCTCGCAGGGCGTCTGGCTCACAGTAAGCATACCGCAGCCGGGCCACAACAACAGCTGGGCTCAGCCCAACATCGGCTTACCAGGCGCGCAAATGGCATCTTGCGGATGAGCAGGCTGGTGCTGCGTTGGTACTTGCGGATCTCGCGCAGCGCCACAGTGCCAGGCCGGAAGCGGTGTGGCTTCTCTGCACACCATTCCCGTACGCGGGCACTGGCTCAGCGCACAGGCTCGGGCCTGCAGCTGGCCTGTATATCTGCCTCACATCTGCTTGCACGCACCACCAAGCCACCGCCTTCAACAGAAGATACGGAAGCTCGAGGGCAGGCAGCAGCGTTGGCGACGAGGCGACGCCAACCGGCGGTGGCAGCGGGCGCACTCACTTGGTGCGGCTGCCTTCGACTTCATTGGGGACTTGCCCTTTTTGCCGGCCGCCTTGCCGGCCGGCCGCTTCGAGGGGCTCTGCTGCACCCAGCAGCGCCAACGGTTTTGAAAGGGCCGGCGGGGTGCTGGCTTCAAGCACCCAGCAGCAAGATATGCAGCGTGAGCTGTAGCAGCCAGCTGCGCACCGGCCGAGCCTGTTTCGTTCTCGCCATGGTATGGCTGTCGCGACTTTACAGCCGGAGTCGCCGCGCTCGTCACGGTCGTGAGCTTGCTCGCCACACGACAGATCGACTGTGTGCGAGAGACGGCAGGGCTCTCTGGACAAAATGTACCGCCGCGCCGGCGCGAGGGCGCCGCCGCAAAGACGGCTGCCTCACTCGCTGCCATGCCCATTGGTGAATTCAACCCGAGTCAAGAACAATCTCGCAGTGCCGCCACTCCTGCAGCCGCATCGTCGTATGCCCCCATCTGCAGCTGCACCGCCGACAACCGCTCGTGCACCTCGCCCTCCACCGCCAGTTCAAAGCACACCTCTTTGAAAACGCTGCTGCGTGACACCTCCTGATACCCCAACTTCTGCATCAGCTGTATCGAAGCAGCATTGTGCTCTAAAATCTTAGCACGGTACTTTGTCACGCCCTGCAGGCAAGGCGCCGGGAGGAGCGTTTTGCTACAGCATTGGCCAAAACGGCACCCCACTGCCCAGCAGCATAGGCAAAATTGCTACCATCGCCAACAGCAGCAGGGGCGGGGCAGCGCACCAGCTGCATGGCAGCATACGCCATGAATAGCGTCAGAGCCTCCGTCGCGATGCCCTTGCGCCGGCTGCGGTGGGTGGGAAGGGTAGGCAGGTGACAGGCTGCAGGTTGCCTCGGTAACTTGTCTGGACGCCAGCCTCACTCGCTCCAGCCGCTGCAGTTGCTCTGCCGACCAGCAGCCAGCAACAGACCTGCGCGGTTCGGCAATCATGAAATTCAGCTCCGCGGTGGATGGCTCGTCGTGGTCAGTCAGGAAGAGGTTGACATCACCTGAAAGGAAACAGAAGTCGGGCAACAGTATGAGGCTGATGTTGGGGGTGGCAGCGCAAGATGGCTTGGGAATAGGCCCACATTTGCCAGGCCCCGCTCCATGCTTGCACCACTCACCCGCCATCGCACCGCCATGACTTCCGGGAAAATCAGGATCCAACAGAATGCAGGTACACTCTGGATGAAGGGAGGGGCAATAGAGCAGCATTTGCTGGGGGGGGGGGGGTGCTCTGCTTTGCACCAACGCAACAGCTGCCGTAACCTGAATCCCTGCTCACTCTGCGGGTCCTCTGCCCAGCTCGCTTGCATGGCATACTCTTCCTCCAGCGTGAGTGGCTCGCTGGCTGTCAGCTCCTGCAATGTCTCGCTCTGCATCCACTGGTGGTACAGCTCCACATGCTCACGCCGGTATGGCACCAGCACCACCCGCTGGCCGCGGATGGTCAGGTTGAAGTTGTCCATCATAATGCCACGGTGCTTTGCGCTCGTTCCGCCGCCCGCTGCACGCCGCCGCCAGACCCACACCGCTTGCTGCAGCTCCCACCACCCTTCCGGCTACCCTGACGCGTGCCGTGGTCCAGCACCGTCAGAGAGGGCTGCGCCTTGTGTTCGTGCTGCAATAGGCACGCGAAAGCTGGCGCTGCATGCCCAGAGATGCAAGCAGAACGGATGGCGCGGTTGAAGAAATTAAAGAAGAAATGAGCTGTTTCTCGCGAAAGTGGTGAAGGCATCAAACGCAAAAGCGGCGACACTGGGCGGAGCATTTACTGTTGACATCAGGGGCCTGGCTCGCTTCCTTTGATCACATCAATCATTGTACATCATTTTTCATCATCAGCAAACACGATGACAGGCAGCCTAATCTGCTGACAACTGCTGCCCCTCTAGCTGCCCCGTTAGCAGCGCATGGAGCATAGCTGGGTCCACCACCTTGCCATACCGCACAGACAGAAAGTACTGGCGGTCGCCCTCGACATCTAGTGGAAGTAGCGGCTCCTGCAGCATCGCTCGCCGCGCCGACTCTGGCAAGTGCTGCAGCGGTGGCACCAGCGCCTGTAGCGCAACGTCGTTGTCCTGCAGGGCCACCGGGGAATGCCAAGGAGGCAAGCGTCTGCAGCCCACGCACGGCGGCCAAGACCCACAGGTGCATGTCGGCTTGCAAGCGGCAGCTCTACATGAAGCCGCAACAACCAACGGCCAGCCAACATTCCAGGGGACAGACACACCCGCTCGCTCACCTCACGCTTGCCCCAGAAGTCCAGCACAGAGATCCGCAGGCGGGGCGGCTGCCCGGGCTGGGAGCCGGAAAGCAGTGCCAGCTCGCCCACATACCGCCGCGAGTAGAACCATAGTGCCCCGGAGGCCACCCCCGCGCCCATAACCAGGGCCGACGCCATCACCGCCTGTGTGCTGGCCACATGGCCGGTTGCAAGGAATGTGTTGATGGGCACGGCCAGGGCGGCAATGCCGACCAACTGGAACACCTTCATCCTGCAGTCAGGCAGGCGTGAACAGGCAGGCTAGAGCCTTGGCCTAAAGACTGAAGATGGGTGGGAAGAGTGCCTCTTGCAGTGCCCAACACCAACAGCTGCAGACAAGGAGGTGCCGCAACCCACTGACGCACCTGACAAGGAGCCTGAACAGCTGCATGCCTTTGCCGCGGTAGAGAACTTGCTTAGCTGGGGTGCTTGCGGTGGTTTGCTGCGAGTCTAACTCCACCGGCCCTGCATGTCCCGCGGGGCGGGACGGCGACGCATCCAGAGCGGCTGCGGCAGCGGCCGAGCCGCTATGGTGGAGGCCGCGCCCGGGAGCACACCAAGCCGCTGCAGCTGGCCTCGTACACCAGGGAGGGGAGGCAGGGCCCCAGGAGCCGGAGAGAGCCCCAACTGGCTGCAGCCGGCCCCCCATTCCCACGACAGCGCCCAGCGGCGCAGCCTGTAATGCCGAGATCAGGACTCGTGCACGAAGCATGGGCACGCTGAACTCTGGAGAGTTTCATGAACTTTTGCTGCCCCAGTGGCCTTTGGCACCTGCACCTAATGCCTAGTGCGAGGGGCATCTATGTTACATGGTGGCGTGGTGTGCAGGCGGGCATCAGAGATAATCCCGTGGCGCCAGCGTGGCGCCGGTCCAGCTGGGGATGTGGCAGCAGAAAACACACCACACCCATTAACTAGAGGACGTATCTGCTCAAATCCTGCTTCTTCAAGAGGTCGCCGATCTTGGTCAACACATCCTCCTTGTCGATCACCACGTTGACCTGGCTGCCGCTCTCCTTGGCCTGCCAAGCAGCAGGGAACAAGAGCCAGGTAACGGCACTGTCTGGCAGGCAGCACACAGTGAAATGCAGCAATGCCTACCCTCAACCGGCCGCACCCGCCGCCCCCATCCAATCCGCCCCACCTTTTCTGGCGCGTCAAACGACACATCCTCCAGGATGCGCTCCAGGATGGTGTGCAGGCGCCGAGCGCCAATGTTGTCCACGTTGGTGTTCACCTCCTCCGCCACCCGCGCAATCTCGCGAATCGAAGCATCTAGAAGGCCAGGCCAGGCAAAGGCAAGGCAAAGGCAAACACACAGGACGTGGGCACATGTCGAGGCAGTGGGCGTGCAACAACACAAAGCAGCGGGACCCCGCACAGCCCTGGCAGCAGCTGCTGTTCACCCAAGCACGGCAAGAGTACGGCAAGAGTACAATCTTGCCCACGGGGCTACCTGTAAAAATGAGCTCCACATTTTCGGTGGTGAGCAGTGCCTGCTGCTGCTTAATCATGTTGCTCTCCGGCTCGGTCAGGATCTTATAAAAGTCCTCGGCGCTGCACAGGCGTGGCCAAGAGTCTGGCGCTACGATAAATGGAATGACACAGCAAGGGACCAAAGGAGTGCGCGAGCCCCTCTGGCATGACGTGTGGCCTCCCTGCACCACCCCACTCACCGAGCGCAACACGTCGCCGCTGCGGTTGCCCGCACACGCCCCACCCCACCCACCCACCCACCCACTCACGTCAGGCCCTTGAGCTCCACACGGATAGGCAGGCGCCCCTGCAGCTCAGCCAGCATGTCACTGGGCTTGCAGGAGTGGAAAGCGCCGGAGCAAATGAAGAGGATGTAGTCGGTGTTGACATTGCCATGCTTGGTGCTCACGGTGCTGCCTGCGCGAGAGGGTTGTTGTGGGATGGGGTGGCCAGGTCACGGGGATGGACAGGGTGGAGTGGGCAGGTTCACATGTGCTGCAGCTGCCGTCACCTACACCACAGAACCTGCACCCGCACCTTCGATGATGGGCAGCAGGTCGCGCTGCACGCCCTCTGCGCTGGCATCCCCGCCGTACCGATGCTCCGAGCTGGTCACAATCTTGTCAATCTCATCAATGAACACGATGCCTGCAGAGGGGCGACAGGAACGGGTAGAGTGGGTCGGGAGGCAGATTACCAAATCCTCCCTTGTCTGACTGTGCTGCATCCCCAACTGGGGCACAGTACTGGGATGGGTAGCCATAGTGCTGCCCACGCGCGCGGCCACCCCTTCTCACCATCCTGCTCCACCGCCTGGATCGCCTCCCTCGTCACCGACTCAGCGTTGATGTACCGCTCCGCCTCCTGCTCCTCTATCAACGGTCGCGCCTCGCTCACCTGCAGGCGAAAAGGCGGGGCCGGGCGGCATTAGCGGGGGCAGAAGGGTCTCTGCTGGGCTGCGCCAGTGCGCCACGGTCCCCAGGCTCCTCCCTCACCCCCACCATATGTTGCAAGCGCGCAGGGAGCCAACCACCCACACCAACAAAAGCCCCCCCTGTCCACACACCTTCATCTTGCGCTTCTCTCCTCGCCCCAAGGGCCCCCCCCCCCAAATCTTGTCCACCCGCACCACCATCTCCTGCATCGAACCATCGCCCGAGGCCCAGGGCCCCAACATGCCGTGCGAAGGCGGAGAAGGCCAGCTCCAGCTCCACATGCGCTCATCCAGCTCCCCCTCCCTGCCATCAGACAGCCAAACAGAACCCAGGCAGACCACGGCATGGGAGCGGGCAAGAAACTGCGTCAGCACGCCGCCGTTGGTCGCTCGCCAGACACAATCGATAGCATGCAGCAATAAAGGTAGGCAGGCTCCTGCCTGCATCTCGTCAGGTCAGTGCGCTGCCACGCTCCGCCCCTCCGCACCGCACCTGTAGAGCGCCCTGAAGGAGTTGCGCGTGTCTGCCGCCACATCCCCCAGCAGCGCCGTCAGGATGCGCTCCTCCACCGCCTCATCTATCTTGGCCTTCATCTCGCGCCGTAGGCGCTGCAAGAGTTGGGCAGTATGGCTGGCCGCATGAGGGTCCACAGTGATGGGACAGCCTGTGCCCTCACACACAGCGTTGTCTGGGTAGCAGCACATCAGCCCCCTATCATGCGCGTTCGCCCTGCTGCAACGACCCCGGAGCAGGCCAGCCGGTCGGGGTCACCTGGCGCATCATGATGATGGCATTGTCCACCAGGTCGCGGATGATCTGGTCCACATCACGGCCATGGAACCCCACCTCGGTGAACTTGGTGGCCTCAACCTGGCAGAGCGCACGGGGCCAGGCGGGGAGTGGGTTGTGTTGCAAGGCATTCTTGTGTGATTGTGAGGCCTTTGGGACACCAAAGGGTCTTCCAGCATGCCACTTTGTCTCCCCCAAGTTCCGGGCCCACACCTTGACAAAGGGGGCGTTGGCCATCTTGGCTAGGCGACGTGCGATCTCGGTCTTGCCGCATCCCGTGGGGCCAATCATGAGCAGGTTCTTCGGGTGAATCTCCTCCTGCATAGGAAAGCGCACGCCATTGAATAGTAAGGGAGCGATAAGCCAGCAGCTGCGCGTGTCCAGGCTGGAGCAGGCCTGTCTTGGACGCCTCCACACGCTGCTGCCTGCACATGGCAAGATCGGCACTTGCAGCGCCACGGCATCCACCACCGCATGCCAGGGTTTGCCGACCGGCCGCCGCCCACCCGCAGCGGGCTTGGGACTTTGTGCCGCCGCCAGCGATTGCGCAGCGCATTGGCAACCGCCTTCTTCGCCGCGCCCTGCCCCACGATGTAGCGATCCAGCAGCTCCACCACCTGGCGCGGCGTCAGCTGCGCCGAAGACAGCTCTGTCTCCTCCCAAGAAGCGTGCGGCACCGGCTCAGGCTCCGCCGCTGCGGCGGCCGCCGCCGCCGAAGACTGCAGGCTGCTGGCGTGGAATTGACGCAGGCAGGCAGGCACAAGCACAGAGCGCCCCAGTTCCAGCAACTGTGGTGCGCCGGTGGGGCCGCGGCCCTGCTGCGCAACTGCGGAGGCCTGCACAGGAGCGGCAGAGGCGAAGCGCGACGTGGGGGGAGGTCGGCCGATCCCTCGTGTGGGGTAACCCAGCCATGGGTGCCCCTGCAACGCCTGACACAGCTCCTGGCTGCAGTTTGAGCTCGACAGGAGGCTCACCAGCAGCCTGCTGAGGTTTCGCGCCACCAACATAATGGCGGGCCTCCCCAGCGATCAACAGCGTCAGCCCGTGGTGCGCGGCTGATGTGCGAGCTGATTTGGCGCTGAGAGCGAGCCGGGAGAGCAACCCTGCTGCTGGCACCTTCGAGCCTTGCGACCTTCGAGCCTTCCAGCCAGGCACGACACCTACAGTCCAACAGGATTTAGGTGGGTACAAAGGCGAGCGGACAAGGCGAGCGCAGTCTGGTGCGGTGGAATGCCATGCTGTACGATGCTCCCACTCTTTGTCTCTGCGTTTGCTCTTTGTTGCATCTAGCAAACTAGGGATCGCGTGCGATAGTTGACGACACCATGAGACTGACCAGCGGCGGCCGCTCCTTCGCACAAGCAGCCCCTCCGCATTGCAGCCCCCGTCGCTGCAATGCAGCAGCAGTCACTTTGAAGGTGAACAAGCGGCCTGCGCGCGCCACCCGCTATTGGCAATATTTAGCACCATGCATGGCCACAGCACGCAGTGCCTCTGAAAGCCCTTTGTTGACCTCCTGCCGCTTGTCTGACCAACTGGAGTTTCCGTGCCAAGGGCAGGCAGGCAGCGGTCAATGGCAGCGGCAGCCTGGCAGCAGGCGGCACAAGCGTGCGGCGGCGGCGGCGGCTCAGGACGAAGAGATTAGCAGCGCTGACCAGGATCATTTGCCACAGTCCACCTCGTATACCAGTGCCGAGGAGGAGGGTCCCGATGAGAGCCGGGAGTTTGCACTGGCGATGGCTAAGGTGGGCAAGGAGCAACAACTGGCATGGTGCGGCTGGTGGCCATCACTCTCAACCCTACTAGCGGTCGCACGGGGTGCAAACTTTCCGGGCAGCTGTGCTGGTAACTTTCTGTGAGCCCTCATGGCTCTTCAAGGGCTCTGCGATGCTGCCTCGTCATTTCCAGGGCACGTCCACAACCAGCCCTGCCTGCCGCCTGCAGATTGCTTGGGAGACAAAGGCTGGCGACGACATCCTGGTGCTGAACGTTGCTCCCATTGTGTATTGGACCCGCTACATGGTTTTGTGCACCGTGTTTAGCCGCCCGCAGCTCAACGCCGTGCTGGGCAAGATGGAGAAGGAGGCGACCGAGGTGTACAGCAGGGCGCTGAGCCACAGCCCGCAGGCCGGGTACGGCCACTTGTTGCACAGCAGCCTGCTGGGCCCCTGTGTGGTATCCAACAGCGCGCAGGAGTGGCCCTACCCACCCACCCACGCACCCCTGCCGCGCGTGTCACTGACCGCCCGGTTTGGTTCTGCCATGCCGCGCTGTGTGCAGGCCAGGCGGGTGGGAGCTGCTGGACTATGGCGACGTGGTTGTGCATGTTATGACAGCAGAGCAGAGAGAGTTTTACGATCTCGAAACGTTTTATGGCGCCGCAGAGGAGGTGGAGCTGCCCTTTGATACCAGCGAGGCCATGAGCGACGCCGCTAGCTGGTCCAAGAAGATGTGACGGCGGCACAAGCGTCTGATGCATCATGCTGCTGGTTTGGGCCTCTCTTGTTGCGCACTTTGGCTCTCCTCCCATGCTGGACGGCTGCAATGCCCATCTCCGTGTTACATTTGAGGTGGGACACGGTTCAGCGGCAACAAAAAGACGCAGAATGGCTGGTAGCGCAAACAATTTGTGCCGTACAGCATGGGCGCAAACCCTATATCCTCGGGAACAGGCCGATCTCGCCCAGTAAGTTCGTGGGAAAACCTGCACAGGCGGCCTGCTCCCGCCGCCCACCCGCGCTGATGGCACTGCCACGCTCACTGTGGTATGGCCACAGCTGTGGGTGCATCAATCCCACCTTATCACGGGCCGGCTCTAGGCTGTTACAAAGCGCTGAGCTCAGCGCGCGCAGAGATTGCACAGAGGGCAGTGAGGCCACCGCACAGTGTCGCAGGGTGTGTTAGGAGGGCAAGGTTGTGCTAGGCATTGCCTATTCAAATCAGCCTCCAGAAAAAATGCAGTGCGGGCCACCTTTCCCTACTGACAAGTACTAACTGAGGGCCTCCCTCTTCACCATTCAGCCACCCTAATCATCTCCCCCCGCGGTGGTAACATGTATTACAAGCTTCCCCAACGATCAGACAGTGCAACCCGAAAGTTTAATGGTCAAATCACCTCAGAGATCATCTACGATAAACCAAAATACAACACGCGCTTCGACTGGCGCGATACTCTCTCCGCAACAACAAACAGAAGTGTGTGGATAATGGGAATGAGGGCTGCCAAGCTTAGATGTAGGCAACCGTGCAGAGACACGATGCGTGAGTGTGGTTTCCAGGCCGGGAACGGGCAGTCTTGAGGAGGAGAAAGGATTCCAGGTCCGACACAAAGGCAAGGTTCGAAGTCGAGGCTCAGCGCCTTGATCAATGTCCAGGCAAAGGGGTGGGGCTGCAAACAGCCCCAGCAGGAGCTCATCCAGATGTGGGCGCCTCACAGGAGGAAAGAAGGGCCCTGCAAATTGACCGCCAGCAGCATGGGTGTTGTGAAGCCTGAGGCTGCAAGGTGCTGCGATGTGTGCCTGCCATGCCCATGCTGTCCAAATTGCATTGCACTCCTCACCTGAATGGACCCACCCGTGTAGTCATCGGGCGGGGAGCTCTGGGACAGCGGCACAAACATGTTGCCACCTGTACGGCACCCAGACGAGCAGTGCATGACCGGTTCAGGGCTGAAAGTCTGTGAAAGGGCTGCGCTCATGTTATCCAAAATCTTTCCCGCTGCCAGATTCTCGCCTTGCATGGGCAGTGGGCTGGCAGGTGGCGTGGTGGCGGTGGGGTCATGTGCCAGCTTCATTTCCGCCGGAACCATCTTGCGCAGCTGTAAGGGAGCAGGCAGAAGCCGGGCACATGCAAATGAGGCGGGGGGGTCCAAATCTGTGCCTGCAGTGCACAGCTGTGCAGGCACAGCACTGCTGGCCATCCATGCCCGAACTTACCGCAAACAGCTGGTTGTAGAGCTTCAGGGCCTCGTTCGCCTTCTCAGTTAGCTTCTCCTGCAGAACTCCTACCTGCAGTGCCAGATGTGGCAAGAGACACAGTGAGCGCCCACAGAAGCGCAGGGGGCAAGTCTTCCATGCCGGACTCCCTTTTGTATACCTGCTGCGCCAGCACAGCCTTCTGGTTCTCCATTAGCGCCACGTGGGTCATCAGTCGAGCATTCTGCTGGCCCAGTGTAGTGCACTTGATCTGCAGTTGGGCAGGAATGCCGCCAGGCTCGGGTCACACAGATTGTGATGCCCACTGGCTGCTGGCGTACTTGTCCAGCCCAGTGCAGCACAGCATGGGCTGCCTCGCCTGCAGCTCATCCATCAGCTCCGCTCGCTTAGCCCGCACACGGCGGGCAGACTCCCGGTTGGCAATGCGCCTACAGGCGACAACAGCCCAGTGCGATATGAACATGGCACACGTATGCGAAGGCAGAGGCAGAAAGCAGAACATCAGGTGCAGGTAAGAAGGGCTCCTAACCACTCTCCCCGCCCCCAGTGCTACAGCCAGACCCAGGCTGCAGGCCCTGCCCATCCACCACTCACCTTTTGATCTTGCGGCGCTCCTGGTCAGTGAGGTGCGGTGCATCAGGGTTGCCGTTGTAAGCCAGCGGCCGCCCCACACGCTTGCGTGACGGTGCCTTCTCCTTCTCCTCCTGCTTCTGCTGCTGCTCCTCCTCATCCTCCTTGTCGCTGCCAGACTGCGCGGCCTCGCCTGCAGGAGACCATACCCGAAAGAACATCCAAGCAGTTGGCGACACTTCACTATTGTCAATCAGGCAATAGTTTAGGCAATAGTTCAAGGGCTGCAGTGCAGACGCTTGCTCCATTCCAACCGTAACCCCAGGCCCACACTCACCATCGCTATCTGTGGATGCCTCTGCAGCAGCACCGGTTGCCTTGCCCTCTGGCTCCATCTCAACCCAGGCGGCGCGTAGCGAGGAGCTGCGGGTGCGCAGCTGATACGTCCTAGTGGCAGGCTTGCCGCCAACACATGTCCCCTGCCCAGAGGCAACTGCAGGGCGGGGAACCGGCAGGAGCACGTATGTCGGGGACCGCATGAAGTGCAAGTGACCGAGGCAGGCATCTTTCCTGTTGTCTGTTGCTGTTCAGCCTTAACGCTACCTGCTGTCTTCTGAGGCGGGCTGTCGGGAGGGCTCAGGTGTCCGCTGCCGCTGTGTCCACTGCTGTGGCCCTCGGTGGCTGTCTGTGGCGCCTGCTGCTTCAGCCGCATGTTGGGCGTCTCGGGGATGCCAGGCAGCATGCCCAGAGGGAGACCGAAGTCCAGACCCTGCAGGCAAGCAGCAAAGCAGCCGCAGCGAGCAAGTCAGCAGGGTGGTTGTCCTCGGGTCTGGTTCCCACATCGTGCCCAGTGCTGCTGGCCGCACCAGGATCTGGGGTGTGCAGAAATGGTCCAGACCAAGCGAGCTGCTGCCTCCCAGCAACGGCGATGGGGTGGGGGCGTGCGGAGGCGTGCTAGAGTCGCCTTGCTGGCTGGTGGCACTCCTGCACAGCAAGGCAGAGCCGGACGTCGACTCCTCGCATGTCAAGCGCACGCAAGCACGATGCAGCTGAGGATCTTGCTGTCCTTGCCTGCTCCTGTCCACGCCCGAGCTGACCACTGCCGGCCGCTGCAGCAGGTACGCGGCGGTGCTCTCGGCATGGGGCAGCAAAGAGGTGATTGCAGCGCTGCTAGGGGCGGAGGTGGCGCCTGTGACCACGGCCCAGCCTTTCATGCTCCTGGTGCTGCACAGATGCGGGAGAAGGCCAGGGGCTCATTTAGGAAGGCACCCAACCTGCTCCTTGCCTTGGCTGGTTAGAAGCCGTGGCCGCGCCGGCCGGCCGGCCAGCCCAGCGCAGTGGGCGGGCAGTCTGCAGGCTCAGGCGCCTTGGATGCATGGCACAGGGCAGCAGGGCGGCCGGCCGGCCCTCTTCACCTGGTCTGACGGGCAAGCGAGGGTGTGGGAGACAGCCCCTGGCAGCAAGGTCGCCACTTTCTGCTTCGGCCGCTGTTTCAGACTGCGTGACCGTATACGAGTTCTTTCAATGTTTAGCCCTACGTCCCGAAGACGCGCGCGGCATGCCCCGGGGCAAAAAAGAAAAAAGCGCCATTGAGAATCCTAGGATAGCTTCCCGGCGGCCGCCAGGGCCAGGGCCAGGGCGTCTAAAGCTGCAGAGCCACTCGCAGCATACAGAGCAAAGTATGGGTGCCCCCACAAGCTGGCGGCTGCCGTCAGGCAGGCCGCGGCCTCATGGGCGGCCGCCGCCGCCAAACTGGCCAGCTCAATATGCTTGGGCGGCTGCGGCGGCCGCTCCTGAACGGCACCGCCAGTGGGGCGCGCTCGCGCACAGCCAACTAAGCAGGCATGCAACGCCAGCGCGGCGACCAGCACCCTGCCGTCGGTCCACTCTGCCGCGTGTTGCATGCCGCTGACCAGCCAGCCGACCAGGCCAACCGTGGGCAGCAGCGCAAGCTGGGTGTAGAACATCAGCCAAGCGAGCGGGATTGAAGGGCCGCGGGCACCATCTGCTGCCACAGCGGCGCCGTCTTCCGCTCCTCCCCTGGCCGCTAAACTTGCCGAAGCTTGCTGCCTCGCGGCCAGCTGTACCGCCAGGCAGCAGCAGCCCAAATAGGCCGGTGCGGCAGGGTGCAGCAGGCTGCTCGCAACCACAACCGCCAGACAGGCCAGGCTCGACAGCCTCGCTTGCTTGGGCTGTTTCAGGGGCAGCGCCCACTGCAGCAGGCGGAGGCTGATGCTGAGCAGCCCATCGACCAAGGCGACGCCTCCACCCGCCAGCAGCAAGGCTGACAGGGCTTCTACCACTGACAACTGCACCCATGGCCGCATACCCCCGCCGACTGATGCGAGCATGTCTGGGTGCAACGAGCCCCAAGCAGCGACAACCGCCGAGACCACTGCAACCCGTGCGGTGCTGCCGGCCATGGGGCTCAGGCGCGCCTGGCTGAGGGCCATGCACAGGATGGGCAGGACAAAGAGCAGGTGCCGCAGGCTCAGGCCCAGCCAGCCGCCCAGGTCCCACCGCAGCCTGCACCACGCAGGCGTCAAGCAGCGGGAAGCTGAGGAGGCACACCTTGTAAGGAGGAAGGAAGGAAAGAAGAGCGCCGGGCAGCGTACGTACCACAGCATGCCCACTGACGGCGCAGGCATCAGATCAGGGCCAGCCACTCAACGGACTCACCGAAGGGCATACGCGCAGCGTGGGTCGCTGACGAGCAGCAGCTGGCCCAGAGGAGCCACGCCGTCCCACAGCTGCACTGCTCCACTGCTGGCTGAGCCAGTGCCTGACCATGCCACCCGCACGCTGTCGGCTGCGCCCGCACCTGCCTGCACGCCAACTATCGCCGGCAGAATGTTCTCCTGATCCTGACTGTCAACCTTGCTGCCGCACTGCTGTGGCTGGATGTGAAGGGTCCAGGGTGGTGTGGTGCCCAGCAGCAGCACAGCAAGGCACGAGAAGTCCACGCCCTTGCCGCTGCTGCATGCTCCGCTACTCAGCGGCCAAACATGCCGTGGCAGGCTTACCGCCACCGCTGCGGCGTGGCCTGCCTGCAACTGTGTTGACCGCCCTGGGGGCGGCAGTGGCAGGTGCTGCTGACTGCCTGGCTGTAGCTCTGGGTTTAGGGGGTGGGCGTCCAGCACCTGGGCCATGATGCCTGTGCCGCCGCTCCCACTGCCCCGAATGGCGAGGCTGACTTGCGACACTGGCTGCGGCTGTCCTCCAGCTACAGCTGGCATTCCAGCAAATGGGACGTACAGCAGGCGCGTAGCATTGTGCTGCCAATCCACGCCCTGCATGACGTCGCCCCAGTGGCGGGGCACCCACCGCAACTGCAGCGCTTGCAGCAGTGGTGGCAGTGGAGCTGCCACAGCTGCGAGCTGCCTCGTGCGGCCATCAGCCAGTGTTGCCTGCACAGCCCAATGGCTGCACGGTGGCGCTGCTGTGACCAGCAGCAGCAAGCCATGCCTGCCTGACGCCCGCAACTGCGCCGACCGCCAGGTCAGCTGCAGGCTGTGGCCTGGCGGCACGGATCGGTGCAGCAGTGTTGCTTCCACTTGCTCAGGGAGCTCTGCCGCTGCCCCAGCAGATGCTACCACACAACATGGCGCTGGATGCTCGGCTGTGAATTCTGCCCCCAATGCCAGTGCTGGCCAGTGCATTGCCTTGGCCGTGTTGGTTGTGAGCCGCTGGTGCAACAGCTGCTGTACCGCAGCCTGCCATTGGACCACACCCTGGTGGTGCTGCTGCTCCCCATCCAGGGAGACCATCACAGCGTCGATCAGAAGCGGCACCACTTGGCGCACCAGCTGGTTGCACGACACAATGCCCTGTGGTAGCACAGGGGTTCAAGGCTTACTGGTTATTGGCAGGCCTGAGCACATCGATACGAGGCACGGAATGGGTGGCGATCACCGACAGAAGGTGCAAGGCTGGCCGTACCTTGTGGCTGCCAGTGCTCCAGACTCCGGGCATGTCGCGCATCAACGTGCTCAGCTGGGGGCCGGATTCAGGCGCCAAAGGCGTGGCGGCGCTGGGGTGTGTCAGTGGCAGGCTGAAGTCACCGGCACCTGCCATGATGTTGACGCGCGGCGCCGCCGCTGCAATGACCGATGCTGCCGCCTGCTCCTTTGCTTTAGCTGGCTTCAAGACAGTGCTCAGGAGCACACGTGGCACGAATGCGGGAAAGTGGTGCGGCGAACCTAGACACACGAGCGCCACCAGGTAGGATGGGTCTGCACGTGGAACAGGTGACCAGCAGAGCAAAGGTGAGGGCAAGGGCATGCCGCTGTGTGTCCGCTGTGTGTTCTGCCATTATCTCCAGACATCACAACTCCCGCTGCTGTTCCCTTCCTCCTGGCATGCCACTGAAAGACTACTCCATGCGGCCATGAAGTTGGCTCACCAAATCCTTCGGCAGCGTATGCCGACAGGCGGCGCACAACATCACGTGCCACCATGCCGCCCATGCTGTAGCCCACAAGCACCAGGCGGAAGGGCTTGTGCCTGTTGCTGCTGCTATGGATCCGGAGGAGGTGTTGGATACAGCGCACCACAAATTCAGCTTGCTTATCCTGCAACCACATCAGGGGCGCCTGTCATGCATCCTTGCTCATCGCTGGGCTCCGCAGTCGCTCTGGGCCATCCCCTCCCGTTGGGAGCTGCTGTGCCTCACCAGCAGCGCAGCATCCAGTGCCGAGGCCTCTGCATTGAAGTCTGTGCTGTACCACTGCAGCCACAGCGGCCAGCTGGCATTGGCAGTCAGGCGACGCGCCAGCTCACGCCCCGTCTCTGACGCCGCAGACCGCATCTGCTGGTGCGTGCCCAGGTGACCGTGCACAAACAGCACAGGCACCACGTGCAGCCGCTGCAGCTTCTTGTAGACTGCACCAAGCAACGGTATGCAGGCAGTGAATATCTCCTGATGCAGCGGCGGCAGCGGCTGCGGAGGCACGGACCACGGGCGGCAACCGCCAGATGCAGGCTGCACCCCGACACCGATCTATCCGCAATGGGCATCCCTTGCTCTCATCGAATACCTTCCCGGCGCTCTGGGTCGGCATCCTTGAACCTGATCAGTCTATACCGCGAGTGTATCTGGGTGAGAGGCACTTGCTCGTATCCCTCCCACAGGTAGGTTGTGTCGCAGGAGCGCGGCAGCCAGTAGGCACGCAGAAGGGTGGCCAGCGGCAGGGCGGCCAAGGCAAACGCCGCACAGGCCAGCCAGTGCCTCATACCAGTCCTTCTGAATTCCAACGGGACGCATTTGGGGGGTGGGTGATGATGAAACTCGAAAAAGAAACCAAGAGGTACGGGCTCCTGTGCATTGCAACGTGCGGTGGGAAGCAAGGGTGCAGGGTACAAAGGTGGAGCAAGGCTGAACTAGTGCACCACATGTCACATACAAAGCATGAGGCATATGGTCATGAGGTCTTCTTGGCGTCGCTGGACTGGGAAGCATGCAGCACCCCGCTTGGCACCGTGCTGTCCGCACGCCGCTTGGGCGGCAGGCCCACCGTTGATGGGTTTGCACCGCGGCTTTCATTACTCAGGCCGTACTTAAAAAGGAAAACGTCAAAGTAGAAGGTGGCACCTGAGGAGGCAGAGGAAGGGAAACCGCGATAAGACTTCCAACTCTGCACGGGCAGGCCATGCTGATGAGCTGCTCACCTGACCACGCAGAGGCCGTGAGCACGCCCACCATGAACAGCGTGTTTGCAATATAGCTCCGCCACCACAGTGTATTCAGCAGGCACGCTGTCAGGGTCAGCAGTAAGTGCAGACCCATGTAGGCGACTGGCTGCAGCCTCGGTGGTGCCCGCAGCACCACAGCACCAAACAGGCTCTTCCGACTTTTCGTGCTGTACTGGAACTGCGAGCAAGAAGGGCATGGAACACCCGTGGGGCCAAGGGAGTGGCATAAAGCGCTGCTGTAGCTGTCAGGTCATGCGACGTCAAATGGCACGGCACATGGGCCACACCTGGCTGGCCCCCAGCCCATCCCACCAACACACTAAATGCCCCATGCGCTCACCAGCGTTTCGTAACCGCGTTCCTGAATCTTCTTCGAGCTGATGACAAACACCTTTATGTAATAGAGTGTAGCCCAACCCAGATAGGGCACCAGCGGCAGCCATACCAGGTCGCGCAGGCTGGCAGACTCCCACTGCGCTTGCGCCGCAGGAAAAGACTCCAGGTGTGCTTTCAGTGCACCTGAAGTCTTCCATCGTGTCGCCCAGCAGACGCAAGCAGGAAACCAGTGCCTGCACAGCCATCGCGAAACCTTTTCAACCACATGCAGCTGCTCATGGGCTCATGGCGCCACGGTGGCCGCGCGCTGCCCAGCCAAATCAGGGACAACAACTGCACAAGTTGCATGAAGCCAACAACTGCACAAGCTTGCATGAAGTGGGATGTCATCTTGCCCAGGCTGTGTGGCACAATGGAGTTACGGAACGCGAGGATGGACCACAGCAGCGGCCCCATGGCATGTGCAAAAGTGACCTGCAGCAAGCGGGTGGTTTGTTGGCAGTTGGCAGTGAAGCCTGGCAGCTGGGAGGGGTCGCCTCAAAGCTGTGTGCCATTGCCAGTGGCAACCGCGTGCCTTTGCCAGCAGAATATTGGTCGGCTTCAAAATGGAGAGGATAACCAGTGCATTTGCAAGGTAGCACCAGTCCAAGAGATAATAATGCTGCCGATGCCAACGATAATGAGCTAATCGCAGAGTTATTAACACGCATGCCTCCGTCGTGTATAGTCTGTAAAAGGTCCTGCAGAAGCAACCGAGCGCCTGGAATGGGTGGGAGGCACAAATGAGCCAACACACACAATGGATCCAAAGCAAAAGCGTACTGGGGGGAGCAGCCCAGCCAGTAGGCACTCAAGACCATGTGCATGATGCCGAGCACAAACGTCAGCTTGTCGCGGAGCAGCACCCGCTCGGGGCGGAGAAATCTGGCCAGCGCGTCTTGCACCTCCTCCCGTAGGTCGGTATTCACAAACAGGTCCCCAAGGTCCAGCTGTTCATACTCGTCCAGCTCGTAATCGCTATCTCCCTCCTGCAGGCTCGGCTGTTGAATGTCGGCAAGCTCGCCCAGAGCCGCCAACAGGCTGGCGGCGGCAGTGGCGGCGGAGGACGGCGTGGCGCAATCTGCCTCGGAGGAGCAGCTGCCCGCAGCCGCCGCCGCTGCTGCTGCTGTTGCTGCTGCTGCTGCTGCATGCTGCTCTCCCGCGGTGGGTGCCATGTCTCGGACTCAGCTGTCGCCAGCGAGGGCGAAGGCCAGAAAGCAGGTTTACCTGGCTGGTACAAAGGGTTTTCAACAGGAGGTTTTACAGGCCGCCCGCGAAGCATGCAGGCCGCACGTAATGAATGAACGTCATGGACGCATGCATGGACGCATTGCGGCCGCTGGACGCCTCCAACGCCTGACTGCACTGCATCAAGAGTTGTTGACCCGCCATCGGCCTCATCGCCCGTCCACGAAAGATGCAGTCCATGTCGGTGGTCGCCAGTAGCCAGGCTGCTGCCGTGTCTCAGCGCCTCGCGTCTTCCAAGAAGCTGAGCCCCGCGATCAGCCGGCCGGCCGCTGCCCGCAAGGCAGTGCGGGTCAGGGCGGAGGGTGAGGCAGCAGCACCTGGGCTGGAGACCAAGGGGCAGAACTTCGAGGCCCTGAAGGACATCCAGGAGATCATGAACATCCTACCGCACAGGTGAGGGCGCGACGGCGCCACCTCGATGGTCTGCGCGCCGATGGTTCTGCTCGCCGTCCGCCGCCCACCGCCCGGCCCTGCGCCGCTTCTCTTCCTGGTCAGGTATCCCTTCCTGCTGGTGGACCGCGTGCTGGAGTGGGAGTATGGCAAGTATGCGGTGGGCTACAAACTGGTCTCCATGAATGAAAACTTCTTCTGCGGCCACTTCCCGCAGCGGGCCATCATGCCAGGTGTGGGTGCGCGTTTGGGTCATGTGTGGCGATGTCGATTGAGTGTTTGCTTCGGGGGCCACCACAGCGCGGCTTGCCGTTGAACATCATGCCCGCATCTGTGTGCCTCAACGCCACTGGCATTCTGGGGTGCACGACCAACCTCACCCTACCCCCCCCCCCTGTGCAGGCGTGTTGCAAGTGGAGGCGCTGGCCCAGTTGGGCGGCATTGTGATGATCGACCCCACTGATGCCGCGCAGCAGAACAATTTCTTCTTTGGCGGCGTGGACAACTGCCGCTGGCGCAAGCCCGTGGTGCCCGGGGACGTGCTGGTGCGCTTTGCATCCGGCTCATGCTGGGCATGTGCACGGGGCCATATGGCGCTTACAGCTGCCTGTGGCTTATGATTTCCCCTCTCAACATCCAATGCACCGATTTCATTGCAGATGATGCGCTGCGATGTGTCCAAGTTCAACAAGAAGTTTGGCATCTGCAAGGTGAAGCAGGGGGGCAGATCTCTTTGAGCTATGATGATGACTGATCGCTGCTTTTGCCCCAGCGAGACCTCTCCTCTTCCTGTCCCTGGCCCTGCAGATGACCGCTAAGGCATTCGTGGGCGAGGACTTGGTCTGCGAGGCGGAACTCACCCTTGTCATGGGAAAGTGAGCCAGCACGTGTATGGCCCCAGTCTGGAGGCCGCCGTGTTCAGACACTGAGAGAAAGCCCGCCAGCGCTGTTGGTGCATGAAAAGGGCGCACTGTATCCCATGCCACCCCCGTTGCTTCCTTTGTTGTGTCTACAGACGTATATGCAACTACTGTTTCCCATAGTTGCATGTTTTTCAGCACTGTATAGCAGCATCATTTGAGAGTTCATTCATTCCACATTGTGAGCAAAATGCACAGAGCACTTCACAACTCGAGTTTTGAGCTAGCGGTGAACACACTTGAGCGAAGGGCCTGCAGAGCCAACCCAACACTCAGGCCCGATTACATCCCTGGGCATCTCGCCCTGTGGTTCAACCCAAATGATCGCTGAGAAGCCTCAGTTGAAATCTGACATGGGCCAGCAAAGCCACTGAAAGACAGCATCCGTTGCAAACTACATGAGAACGCCAGCTCAGAGTGAGTATGCTCATGGGCAGCACGCATTGAATGTTTTGAAAGATAAAAGTACGGTTGTGGCTCATTCATTGCCCACCAAACATAGCAACAGCTTTGTCCCGCCCCGTAACTACAGCTGCTCCTCCTCTGCGCCGCTGATGCCGGGGATGAGCCCCTTCCAACCATACACGCCCTGCAATGTCACAATCGCACACCATTGTCAAAATCCATGGAAGCAGCCAACTGCCGCTGGGCCAGCATGCCCACACCGCATCCCCAAACAGACGGAGCCGCCCAGTCCACCGCCCTGCCCAGCACCCTGCGCACTCCACACCCGTTCCCTGCACACACCGCCATGAGCACGCAGTCGGCGGTGAAGATGAAGGGGAAGGACTTCCACACAAAGGGCAGCGTCACGTTAAGCAGCGGGATGGCCAGGAAGAGCAGGTTGAGGGCGTCCTTCTCACGGTCAGTGCACTCCCGTGCGCGCAAAGAGGGGACGGTGAACATCCTGCAGCATTTGCAGGGCCAACTCCGTCATGTGGGCAAGCACCCCGCCAACAACATGTGGCTCCGCTCGCTCTAGGGGCCCCCCTCCTCCGTCGGCAAAACCCAGCAACCCACCAGATGGACCACATGCCCAGCAGGCGCGCGATGTCTGGCTGGTCGGAGGGGAAGATGAGGTTGAAGGAGAGCAGGCCACCCAACGCCAGTGCCGCCCAGGCCTGGACCTCAAACACCGTGTACAGCAGGCTGCCCTTGTAGGCCGGATTCTTGCCGGTGGCACCTGAGGCGCGGGGCGCAAAGGTGGTGGCTGCGTTGCGCGCAAACTTGCTGACCTCCTTGTCAATATCGACGTCCACCGATGCAGCGGTGGAGGCAGCGGTGGGCTCTGCGGGAAGGGCAGCCAGGGAGGACCGTGGTGCTGCCGACAACCAGAACAAGACTGGGAAATGGCAGCCACGGAACAGGCCCCGCAAGGGCATCCCCTCTGATACCTGAAACACCAGCTCACCCGGCGTTTGCGTGGTGCTCCGCTCCTCCGGCCGCCCGCCCACCTCTGCCCGGCACCGGTGCAAGTGCCGCCCGCTCTCCGCCCGCCAGCTGCTTGGCCTGCGCGCCGCTTGCCTGCTAATAAGGCTGTGTGGCCGCTGCTGCTGCTGGTGGGGCGCCTGCCCTTGCAACCACACTGCCTTGCTGCCAGCGAGCATGGTGAGTGCAGAGGCGCGGCACTGCGGGATCCCTGCTTCGACTTGTCTACTTCAAGCGCCGCGCTTCTCTACTTCAAGCGCGTCTGAATTATCCTGCTTACGAGTTTCTTCCTTGTGCTCTGCATGGAGTGGAGTTCCACGCCACCTTTAGCCTTTAGCCTTTAGCCTTTAGAGCCCTGCGACACTCCTGGTTCACTCCTGGGCTGTGTAGTGGGGAAAGACCAGCAAGGCCTCCTCCCTGATCGAACGATCTCCCCGCTGCTCTGTAAAGCAGCAGGATTCAGGAAGGAAACAAACATGGATGTCGCCGATCCCCTGCGCTTCGGACAGGTGCCGTGCACCCCTGCTTCTCCGGAACCCTGCGCTGCCACCTCCCTTCTGAAGCGACTGCTGGCTGCAGGAGGAGGAAGAGGAGCATGGGGAAGTGCTTCTGGACGAAGAACCCCTCGCCCCAGCTGCTGAGCCGCCGCCCAACCCGGCGGCTGCTGCCAGTGCCGCCGCCGCCTCCGCTCCAGGCAGCGCCAATAGCAGCGACCCGCTGTCATTACTTGTGGGCAGGGCAGAGGCAGCCACAGGGCACTGCGACATGTACCACGTGCAGCAGCAGCAGGCGGCAGCGTCGCGCACTCAGCAGCAGGGTGGCCCAGCCGGTGGCGACCACCGCGGTGGTGCCGCTGGCGGCAGCAGTAGTGGCCCCGCTGCCGCGTCGCGCCACTGCCCACAGGACAGCCTGACGCTGGATAGCCTGGAGATTGGGGCAGACGACAGCAGCTTTCTGAGTGGTGCGGGCGGCGAGGGGGGCGTGGCGGGACCCAGCACCCGCCCGGCGCCGGCGATGCACATCAGCGTTTCAGACCCGGTGCGGCGCGTCGGCGACAGCATGATCCCAGGCTTCACCAGCACGCACACCGAATACCTGGTCACCACCACCTTGGAAAACCCACGCCGCCGCGTGGAAGTGCGGCGCCGCTTCCGCGACTTTGTGGTGCGCCCTGCATCTGGTTGTGTGATGGCTGGTTTGTTCTCGCTGATTGAGCTGCACAGGGCAATGAGCCAGCTGCTGGCACGGACCTGGCATTGCAGCAGCAACGCAGCACACAGCCTCCGTGGCCCAGCGCTTGCTCCCATCGCCTGGTCCTTCCCTTTCAGGCACTGGCAGACCTGCTGGCCATCACGCAGCGCGGCTATTTCGTGTTCCCGAGGTGAGGTCCAAAGCACCTGATGTCGGAATGGCGACCAGGGAACGTTGGCCCACATGGTACGAGCCTGTGCTTCCTGCAGGCCCGACAAGAACACTCTAGACCAGCAGCTAGGCAAGACCGACTTCGTGGAGGTGCGGCGGCTGGAGCTGGAGCGGTACCTGTGCAAGCTGGCCGCACATCCTGTTGTTGGGCGATCTGAGGTGGGTGCAGTGTGGCGGGGCTGAGAATGGTGCAGTGACAGGTGCGCAGACGGGGTTTGATGTGAGGGGCTGCTGATACTTATGGCTGCTAGCTGCTCACCTGGATGGCATGCCTGCCTGTATGCGTGCGTAGGAGCTGAAGGTGTTTCTGGAGGCAGAGGGCAGCCTCGACAAAAACTTCTCGTGGCAACAGCTGCAGCCGGTGCGGGGGAGTCTGCTGGAGGGCATCGGCCGATTGCCCCGCCAACTCATAGGTGCGATGTTCTTTTTTCTTTCAAGCAGGCTCTATTCTAGTTCTATTTGGACTCTTAAGGTTCGTCTCCTGCTGCTGTCCCGTTTGCCTCCTTGCAGGGTCAGACAGCAGCGTGCCCACCACGGTAGAGGCACAGCAGAATGCTCGCAACACCAGCGACCTGCTGCGGCGTTTCCGGGAGCTGGGGGAGCGCATGCGGCAGGAGTACAAGGCGCCGCCAGTGCTGCAGGATCAGGAGGTCAAACTGCGGGTGAGTGATGTGTGTGGAAGTGCAGTCTTCAGCCGGAACAGAGCCTGGACCTTGTATTGTGTGTTTGCCTGCTTCAATGCCCACGGGCCCTGCAGGAACAGCGTGCTGGCGTGGAGGAGTATGCCGACAAGCTGGCTGCCGCATCGCGGCGGGCCGAGCTCATGGTCAAGGAGTTTGAGGAGATGGGAGCAGGTGTGTGATATTGGAGGCTGGTGGCCCTGCCGCCGAGGTAAAGATGCTGTTGGTGACTTGCCCGCCCCGCTCCGCCAGTTGTGCGATGCGTTCAAACTTGTCGTCTTCCTTGTCCTGCCTGCCCCGTCCCCCATGTTCCCGGCCCGCAGTCATGGGCGACCTGGGCCTGTCATTGATGAAGCTGGCCAAGTATGAGGATGAGGAGGGCAGCAAGTGCGGGCAGTACAGCGACCTGGGTGTGGGGGCGCGCGCGGTGGGCGCCGATGCACGCCGCGTGGGCCAGGCGGCGGTGCGGCAGAGCCGGCTGGCGCGGATGGCCAACGGGCAGGCCATGGAGGCACTGGAGCCGCTGCATGATGAGCTGGCCGTGTCGCCGGTGCGTGCAAACTTGGGCATGGCGCTGTGGAGCTGAGTGCTGAGGGACCGCACATGGGGGCTGGCATTTGGGGTCTTGCGAACCTGCCGACCCCAATGCTCCCGCGCCGCCTGTTTGTCTCACTCTCTTCCACGCCCTGCGTGCAGGCTGTGACTGCGGCGCTGCGGGAGCGCGAGGCAGCGCTATTGACGGTGCAGAGCATTGAGGACGACCTGGAGCGGCGGCGGCGAGCGGTGGCGGCGTTGGAGGAGGCGGGCCCCCGTAGGTGTGTGATGTGGGGCAGAGGTGGAGGCGGGGGTGGGTGCAGGACTGCCCTCCAGCTTGACATGTGAGAGCCGCATGTTGTGTTGTCGCATGCAGGGTGGGCGGCGACGCCGCCAAGGCGCGCAAGGTGGCGGCCATGCAGAATGAGGTGTCGGCGCTGGAGGCGGCCCTGACGGCGGCGCAGCAGGAGTATGAGCGCGTCAAGGCCCGCAACCTGGAGGTGGGTGTTTTTACACCTTGGAGGGGTCAGTGCAGGTTGCGGGAGACGGGCGGGCACCTATCTGTGTGCTTGGCCTGACCCCTCCTGCTGCCCATTGCTCTTGCTGTGCAGGAGCTGGAGCGTGTGCGGCAGGAGCGTTCGGCCGAGTTTGCTCGGCTGGCCAAGGGCTTTGCGGAGGTGGATGCGCTGTTTGGGCAGCGCTGCCTGGACATTTGGCGCGGCGTGTCTGGCGAGTTTTCAACCTGAAATAGGACCGCAATGCAGCTCGAGGCGCACGCACCGCCGTAGCGGCACTGCCGGGCGCAGGCCCATTCCCCTGTTGTTCATTTCTGTTGCCTCATGCTGGCACTCTTGTATGGTTGCCTCATGCTGGCGCCTCTTGTATGGTTGCGAGCTCCACCACACTGGCAGTCTGGACTGCCTGTGGAGGAAAGGATGAACGGCCCGTCAGACAATTGGCAAAGGTCTTGGGCTAGGGAACTGTTTTTTGTTCTCTTGGAGGCAGAGACGCTATTCTTAGAGACAACAAGACGCACATACTGCGTGCAGCCATGACCCTCTCACTGGCAGTCCGGGCCTTCGCGCTGGTGACCCTCGCAAACCTGCTGCTGCACCTGCCCGCGTCCTCAGGCAAGAATCCACGGTTGGGTGGGGTTGGCATGCAGAGAAGTGGACCACGTGCACGGGGCAGGTGTGGGGGCTGACGCATCGCCCCGCCCCAGCAGACCCAGCACAAGCCTGGCCTGTGTCTCCAATCGACACAAGCTTGCTAGAAAAGGCGGATAAAGGACTGGCAAGGCGCCGTGCAGCCTGCCCCAGCACAAGTCACTAATTCCCGCCCTTGCCCCCGCCTTCCCGCTCCCCCCTGCAGCCCGCCACCTGATGGACGAGGCTTCCGGTGATGATGGCTGGTTCAGCAACGGCCGAGCAACCTGGTACGAACACCCCCACACGGGTTCATGTGGGTACGGCAAGCTCGAGAGATACAAGTTTGGCCTCGATTCCGTCGCAGCACTTCCCGACATCTCTCCCTTCTTTGCCGGCTCCTGTGGAAGGTGCTTCCTTTTGAAATGTCGAGGCATTCAGGCCCGAAGGTGAGAGGTTGGTCTGCGGCCAGTTTGTTCGCCTGGCATTACTGCAGTGATCCCCAAGACCATGCCTGCAGCGCCGACGGCTCGGTCGATCTTAACCGCATGGACGCCTGCTACGATACCACGACCACGATCACGATTCAAATCCTGGACACTTGCCCATGCAAAGGCAATGAAAAATGGTGCTGTGGCGACGCCAACCTGCAGCACTTTGATCTCAGCGCTGGAGCTTTCTCACGCCTGGCTCCCCAGGTGGGGTTGTGGGTGGCCAGCTCTTGCTCGTGGCGATGCACCGGCCCCCTGCGAAACACAGGTCGCTGCTGCTGCTGCTGCAGGGCAAGGGCATCATCGGCCTGGCCTGGAAACCCGTGCCCTGCGAGGCCATCAACGGCACCGCCTCCCTCCAGGATTGGCAGGCGCTGCAGCAGGCCACAGGTGGGTTGCGGATGGGAAGTGCAGGTATTCGCTCCTCAGCTCCAAGGCAGCCGCCTGCTGGCATGCAGTGGATGGAGCGAGCCGCGACATCTTCCATGGCGGCGTGATAGGCGTTGGTTGGAGGAAGACGGTGCGCGCTGGGCTGCATTCCCTCCTGGTACTTTGCGCGGGCTGTGCATCCTGAGAAGACCCTCTGTCGCCTGGTCCCTGGCAGATTTACGGCGATGACAAGGCAGCCATGTATTCGTACGAGTCGAGCCTGGAGAGCCTGCCAGAGGGCGGTGCCGCCCTCTGTACTAGTGAGAACCGTGCTGGGCACTTGACTGGGTGATGATGTAGCGCGCCGCCATGCCCCTCGACTGATTGAGCCTGCCTGCTGCGCTGCCTCCTTTTCCATAGCCGTGGCTCGCTGGGGCGGCTTCGATTTCAATGCTGATGCTCGCGACACCACCGTCTTCAATGGCGCCTCTGCCGTGGAGTTCTGGGCGAAGAGCCCCAACGGCATTCCTGATGGATTTGTGTTCCGTGCGTCCGACATCTCACAGGTTGAAAGCAATGACCTGAGGCTGTTTCTATGCACCCAGCTGAGCAGGCTGTCCACTCATTTCCCCTGCCACCAGGGCGCTTGCAAAGAGTACCGCCTGGAGGAGGGTGCCACCCTGGACACCGCAAACGGCTGGACTCGCTTCTCCTTCCCAATCTCCGACTTTGAGTGCGGCCAAGGGGTGCGCACCGCTGCCTACCCCGCTGCCTACCTGGCTGCCTACTTTCATTCTTCTTTGTTTCATTCAATCATGCAATTTTTCATCACTCTTTTAGTTTGGACTTGCATTTGCTTGCAGATGTTGAACCGTATCCAGTGGGAGAACAAGAGCGAAAGCAAGCAATCGATCTGTGTGAAAGATGTGCGCATCATTGCCGAGGAAGCTTCAGCTGTGGCGGCAGCCGGGCGGCGCTGAGGCAGCCGGGCGGCGCTGAAATAAGTTCATGCTTCCGGTGCCCTTGCTGCCACGCCACCAGGCGTGCCTGATTCGCACCTATTCCATCTTCATTGTCATGATGCCATTCCATTTTATTACTTTTGCCAGCTTCCGCTTCTATTGCCAGCGCCACATTCCTTTCACATGCACATCTCACAACTCAAGAATGAGCATTCAGATCACTGAAATACAATACAAGTGACCACTCATCATCATCAAACTGCCGGCCGCAGCCTGCCACGCTCCAAGACCAGGTGGTGCATGTCAGTTGGCAGAGCAGCCCGCAGGGCATCCGCACTGGACGAGCTGGCGGTGAGCACCACCGACGCGCCTGCCTGCTTCAGCCGCCCCACCACCTCTGCAGCAAAGCAAGGGGATGGGGCGAGCGCACCGCACGCAATTCAAATAAAAGAGAAAAGTCAGGGAAGCAGCAATTGGCATCTCCCCTGCATGCACGCATGCCAGCAGAGCATGAATCACCTGGGAGACGGGGCACAGCCGTGAGGAAGCGGTCGGCATCATCGATGAGCACGAGGCGAGGCGCGTCTAGCAGCAGCAGGCGTGTAATGCCCAGACGCAGGCGGGCCATGATCGCCAAGTCCACGCGGCTTGCCTCGCCCACCTGCAGCCAGTCCGGGCAGGGCGTGCATGGGTCACGGTCCCTCTCCCCGCCAGCAGCACATGCGGTTCAGGCCTAGCAGTGTCCCTCCTGGCTGCTCTCTGTCCTGCGCTGCTGCAACTCGCCAGTGTCTGGTAGCCATCTGGCATCTGCGCCACGTCGGCATCCAGGCCCGTAACAGCTGCCGCCTCTTGGCAATCCACCACGCTGGGCAGGCAGGCCACAGAGCACCCGCACACCATGTTCTCCTGCTTGGGGGCGGCAGACGCAGGAGGGACATCTGTTGAGGACAGCACTTGCAGTCCCGCATGCCAAGCTGGGATGCAGGCAGGCGCACTGGTTGCACAGCACAGTGGTTTCCACTGCCCCCACGACACCCAACACACCTGCACTGTGGCGTAGAACACTGCCTCGATGCAGGACTGCGGAGACACGTAGCCCATGCACTGTTGCATGTCGTAGCGGTCCGTGGACGTGGTTTGGTAGGTCAGCCATGTGCCGGCCGTGGTCAGGAATTGAACGCTGCCGCCGCCCGCAATGATGTCCAAGTGCAGCAGGTGCAGCAGCGTCGAGCGCCCCGATGCTGGCGCACCCGTCACGAGCACCAATTCCCCAGCCGGCACATCCAGGTTGAATGCAAACAGGACGTTGCCGGGCCTGCCCCTGCGCCAGGAGCAGGCACGGGAGAAGAGGCGCACATGGAGCATGGGCAGGCTGTGGGAGGGGACACGCTGACACGCAACCCTCCCACACCAAACATGCCAACTCACTTGTAGCCGTAAATGACATCTCGGCACCGCACCCCGCCCGCCCAGCTTGCCGCCGTCAGCCGGCGAGTCCAGTTGGGCCAGGGCCCACTGCCGCCGGCATCGCCAAGGCCCTCGCCAGCCTCCTGCTGAGGCTGTCTGTTGGCATCCTCCCGCTCCAGTGCCTCCAGCACTGCAGCCTTGCCGCGGTTGGTGAGTTGTCCGCGCTTTTGCAGATCAATCACATGCTCAAGGCTCCCTGCAACGGTGGCAAGGGGAAATGGTACTTGCATGCATGCAAGCCACTATCCCGGAAATGCTGCTGGCAGCTCAGTGTCCACATCCATCCAGCGCACCATAGGAGGCATAGAAGCGCGCCACGCCCTCCGAAAGCGCAGTGTAACCTGACTCGACCACCGCCGTGTACCGCAGCATGGCGTACAGGGCACCCACGCTGAGGGTGCCGGCCAGGACGTGGGAACCGCCGATGTACATGAGGCCAACTGCATCCAGCAGTGGTGGCAAGCAGGAATGGAGCTGGCACGGCGGGACAAAAGCTGCAGCACTAACACCAGTGCTGCCCCACCTACCTGTGACACCGGCCGAGAACAGCGTTTCCAGGAAGAACTCGTGGCTGGCCACCCACATTGCCAGAACCATGGCTGCATGGAAGTAGGAGGCCGCCAGGTAGCCATACGAGTCTGCAGGGGCGGAGTCGGCGAAGTGATGGCACCTCTGGAAATCAGGGCAGAAGTAACAGACAGAGGAAAGATGCCCAGATTGTTGCATGTGCAACTCCAAGGCGGCAACCACTCACCGGCGAAGCTGCGCTGCAGGGCCATGGAGATGACCCCATGTATGGAGGAGAAGACGTCGTAGCTGAAGCCATACAGGCGGCCCAGCGCAGACCTTGCGATGCGGTGGCGGGCGCGGATGAACAGCGACACCAGGAACAGCTCGCCAACGCTGACCCACACCGCCGCGCCTGCAATGCGGCAGCGGTGGCAACAGCAAAAGTTGCTGGGCTTGTGGAAGATGCGGCGGGACAGCAGGAGGGAGGGGGGGGGGGGGGGGGCAGGGAGGATGTCTCACCAATCACGGCAGTAAAGCCCCAGCCCAGTGCTGGAGAGGCAAAAGAAGCCAGGAGCACCACGCCTGCGATGACCTGGGTCAGCCCCTGCAGGCCAATGAACACAGCAACAAAATGTTCGCCACTGGAGGGGGCCAAATAATCGCACCGAGGAATGAAGGGGGTGGGCGACCATCTGACGAACACAAACGGGACATGACCCACCTTGACCATCTTCTGCACCAGGAACCCCACCAGCACACGCAGGTTCATCATGTCCACTCCGCAGCGCCTGCAGGCAGGCCAAGCAGGTATTGGTGGGTGCGGGAGTATTGGGTGGCACATGTATTGGGTGGCACGTGTTGCAGCGCCCACAAGCGGGCTGCATGCTCATGCACGCCGCCTTGTCGTCTTACATGGCCAGTTCTGAGGCGGAGATGCGATCATAGAACGTCGAGTCTTGGAAGAGGACGTGCTGGAATAGACCTGAGGAGGTAACAGGAACAGAGGAGAGGTGGCTCCAGAAGTGCAGGCCAGGCGCAGGATAGTACATGCTGCCAATCTCAGGCAGGAGGGTTGCACAGCAGCTGCACCCTGCACCACAATATGAAAGTTGACTGCATGTGGGGCACACCTGTGTACAGCTGCTGCATGGCCTGGCGCAGATAGAGCTGCAGCGCCAGGCTGGACAGCCAGTTGGCGGTGACATACGCGATGCAGACCTTGGCCAGCAGCACAATCTTCTCCATGAAAGCCGGGCTGTCCCCGGCAAGAGCCAGGTTGAGGATGAGGCTCTGCAAGCGGTGGGTGGGGCAGAGGTGGGGCAGAAGGCGGCAAACTAATCTATGGGCAAGATGCAGCCAACAGAGATGCCACACCGTAGGGGAGCAAGGACTCATTAGTGATGCTAGATTGCAATGCACTCCCCAGATCCTGGGCGGCTGATGTTACCTGAACACGCAGCTGATACAAGTGCAGGCCAACCGAGGCGACAACCAGAACCGATGACAGGACCAGGAGGGGCCAGGCCGCCATCCCGATGCGGCACATGAAGTGGATGGTTTCGGCGCCTGCAGAATTGGACAGCCCGGCAGTCAGAGGTAGCCCATGCAGCGGGGCGACTGTGACATAGCGCAGCAAGGAAAACCCAGGGCATCACATGCGGGACTTGCAAGCCCAGCCAGCTTCATGGTGGCCAATGGCAGCATCTGCGACCAGCGAAGGCATCACTCAAACAGGCGGCCCCAGCCCGATATGGCCCTGGGGGTCACGCCACGCACTTGAGTAGCGCGAGGCGGGGCGGGCCATCTCCGAGAGCGGCTCCCTGGCAGGACCGTCCTCCTTGTCCTCCTCCCGGGCAGCCGCGTCTGCGGTGTACTCCTGAGGGTCAACCTCCCATGCCATTCCCAGCCGGTTCTCATCTGGAGACACCGCCGGCGCGGCACCCAAGAGCGTCTGCGCTAGCACAAACTGCACCTCGCTTCCAGTCGGGGGCAGGCCCCCGCCCCCACCCCCTTGCCACAATGCTGACATGGCATGCCGCACGCTGGAGGCCGGCGTGGCCTTGCCGCGCAGCGGACGCTCCCCAGGAGGCAGCAGCGCAGAGGACAGAAGCGGCTCCTCCAAGCCTGTACCTGCAGCAGGCAGCAGGCAGCGGTCAAGATTCTGAGAATGCATGCCATGCCCAGCAATGGCCGGCCGTGTGCAGCGGCACCTCAAGGAAACCAGCATGTATATGCAGCTGGGGCAACGTAGGGGCGGCCAGCAACAGGCAGCACCTGTGGAACGCTGGCTGCGGCCGCTCAGCTTGGCTGCAATAGCCCCGCCAAACGATGCCAGACGCCCAAGTGCGCCACCGCCATTGGGGGCACCCGAGCCCTCGCTGCCCATCGCAGCCTCCACGTCAGCCTCCGCAGCCCAGCTAGTTGATGACCCCGCTGCGGGGAGCGGAGACGGTAGCTGACCAGGAATTGGCTGCCTTGAAGGCTGCCGCAGCTGGTTTGCCTTGCCTTTGCCGGCAGGCGGCGGTGAGCCTGCTGGGTGCTCGGGATCCCACAGCCCGCCCTCGCCATCAACGAACTCCAGGTACTCTGAGGGGAAGGTGATGAGGCCCAGGGACAGGGTGTCCTCATCTGCAGAGGGAATGGCATGACAAGGGTGGGTCAGCGAGCTCAGAGGGCAGCACGTGGAAGCTAAATGGTCAGCGAAGCCTAGCAGGTGCGCACAAGCAGGAGCAGCATCGATGCTTGCCTGCTGGGATGTAGCCGGTGCGAGAGGCACGGTCGCGCTGCCGGTAGGGCAGACTGCGCATCCTTGCCTTCTTCTCAGTTACCCACCTCTCCACTGCAACCGGCACGGTGGTCGTCATTTGAAGGCGGTACCAACATGGAGCAGCATCCAAGATGCAGCGACCACCGCCAGCACCACCACTACCAGCAACCGAAATTCACACTGACAGCCACAACCCACCTGCCTCCACATCCAGCTCGTCCAGAGACAACCGGCCACCATACTGTGCCAGCTTGTCGTTCACCTCCTTCAGGGTGGATCCCCACAGCCCATCAAACCCGCCCTTGCGCCGCACCTCTGAGCCTGATGAACATGCGGCCAAAGCAGTTCAAGATGGCAGGCATGAGCAGCTTGCAAGCGCAAGGGGATTGGAGTAAATTGCTCGTGGGCAGCAGCACAGAAGGCACCATTAGGAAACGCGAAAGGAAACTAAGTTTTTTCAAGTGGAACCGATTGGCAGTTTTCATCAGTCTGGACACTCACCTGACAGCAGTCCGACATCAATCAGATGCGCGACCACAGCCCTATAAGCCACATCATCAGCGTGGACGGCGCGCAGAATCTGTGGGCCGGCCAGTCCAGTATGGCAGCAATCAGTAGCAACACGCAACAGCATGACAGCATGTCGTCACACCCACCTGATAGAGTGTGATGGGCTGCAACTTATTCCGCCTGTAGTATGCCCAGGTGTCCTGTACCGCAAAGGATGCACAAGCTGCAATGGGGCTCTTGCCGGGACCCTAAACCCTAAATGCTGATAAGTGATCCCCCCCCCCCCCGCTTGCGCACACCCTGCCACCCACACCACACGCAGTTACATGCCCATCCGCACTTCTCCCAGTTGGTAGCTCGCTCCGTGCCCTTTAAAATAGCGCAGGATGGTCCTGGCGACGTGCTTGGGGGACAGGATGGGCTGCGCCCCATCCAAGGTCCAGCACTCGGTGAAGTCTGCAGGGCGGGCATGAGAGGCATGCCAGGTGACCACCAAGTGCCTTCCTCGCATTCATCCTCGGCGACGTGGCCACCCACCAGACTTGAGGGCATGCGGTATGGAGCGGATGATGGAGTGCTTGGCATCATACAGCGCGTTGTCGGAGTAGAACAACGTGAGCGGGGCTCCAGGAGAGAGGCGCAGCAGCAGCACTTCATTGAGGCAGATCTGCAGACAGAGGCAGCAGATGCAGCAGCCTCGCAACAGCTATGTCGCATCCCAGGCTGACTGGAGCCGGGCTGTGCGTTGGCAGCGGCAACGTCATGTGCTGGCAGCCGTTCATAACACAGCCAACTGGGCATAGCAAGGACGCTGCAGTGGCACCCAGGCACCCACGTCGCGATGTATCCAGTAACTCTTAAGGCCTTCCTTGCTGAGGACCTCGACATCTTTGGGTTCCAGAATCAGGTGGCCCAGTTGCATGCCTGTAGAACAGCAATAGAGGCAGCAGCATCGCAATACGTGGTGCCTGAAACAGCAGGCGAGGGGCCGACCTGCCATAGCATGACTGTGAACGACCCAGACCTCCTGCCACCCCACCTGTAACCGTCTTGCGCAGCTCGGTTTCCTCCTCGGGTGTCAACCCAGCCTCCGCAATCAGGACGCAGTCGATGTCGAAATCGTCGGTGGCGGGCTCTGGGGTCCCATGCAGAATTTTGAGTATCTTGCGGGCGATACCACCCTGCACATCGCCAGCGCTGATAAATCGGTCATGCCAGCAGCTAGGCGGTGACACACTGTAGCAAGAGGCTAATGACATGTGGTGAGCAGCACACACCTTGATGCCCATGCCATAGCCCAGCTCCCCCGCCACAGCCGCGATGCCGCGGTCCACTTTGGCAATCTCCTCTAGATCGATTATCTCGCTGAGGATCTGAAAAGGAATTTGATACAGAAGGGCGGTTTCAGAACAAGCATGCACAAGCGTGTTGCCAATCCTTGCAAGCATATGTGTAGGCAGAGCACCAAGGACGTGCTGCGGCGCTGGGAACTTCACCTGCATCGGCTGTCGCACCAACGGATTGTGAATCACTGTCACTCCAGAGGGCTTGAACAAACGGCTGATGGGCCTGCATACTGGCAAGAGCCATTGTGATCTGGCGGGCAGCAACAGGGCAAGCAGCGACCTGGGGCCAGTGACCTGCTGTCCCTTGGCAGACGCTCACCAGGTAGTCAGCACCCAATAGATGAAGTACCCAGCTGCTGCCAGGAACACCGCTACTCCCAAGCCCAGCAGTATCTTCCGTCCCACCCCAGCGCCAGCGTCGACTGCGGTACACGGCTCGAGCAAAGAGCCTCCAGAGGTGCTGTGCATCGAAGAGGCTGGCGGCCAGGGCAGCGGCAGCCACATCACGCGCTGACTGTCTGAGCCGCAGCTGCATAGAACAGAGGAGCAGCGGCAGCAGTTGAACAAAGCTCCGCCAGCTCCCACAGTGCCTGCCAAGATGCTGCAGTCGGCGGGTGTGACTACTGTTTTGACCTTGCCTGTTGCGGGTAGTAAAGGGCGGGAAGAAAGCGTTGCAGTCGGCGGGTGCCAGAGTGGCCCTGTCGATGCACAGCCGCAGCTCGGCAAGGTGGGGCAGCGAGCTACCCCCAGCGTCGGGAAGACGGCATACTAGGCCCTGGCCCGGCGGCAGCGCGTCCCCCAGCGCTGCTGAGATGGCCCGCTTGATGGCGCCCACTGCAGGCACAGTGAAATAGGTCCAGATGTGTGAGGTGATGGGTGCAGTTGAATGGGGGTGCAGCTGAATGGGCACCGATTAGGTGTGCACTTACCTCGGTAGGGACGAGAGGCAGATGGCACAATGCCAGCGCCTGCCAGCACATCCGTCAAGTTCCTGATGCCCACTGCCACCCGCACCGCATCCAAAAGGTAGGTAGCGCTGTCGCTGCTGTAGCAGGTGCCGTGTGTGGCCCACTCTTCTTGCCAGATGCTGAGCGGTTGCCCGCCGCTGCTAGTGATGGGCTGCCCTGGCGTGATGTCAGGCCACATGTAGTTGAGCGAGGGCACTAATGCAGTGGGAACCAGGGCAGGCTCAGCGCCTGGGTGCCGAATGGCGCGGGTGCGCTTCCCGCCCGATGGCCCGCAGTACGTGGGGCCGTTCCCACTGCTAGGCCACAAGCCATGGATGGTCCACGAGCTGGCCACCCTGCCCTCTGCCATGGCACCGCCGTACTCTGCTGACAGCAGGGGATTGCCCTGGAGGCGGGCGGGCGGCCATTGCAGGGCGAGCACGAGGGCGTCCCTGCGCAGTGGCGGGAGAGTGGCGGGAGCGGCGGTGTTGAGGGCACGTTTCACTTCCGTTTGAAGATGCTTGCAGCAACGGGCACAGCCTCAAGACAGCTACTGCACTCACGCTCTGCCCTGGGTTGCGGGCGGCTGGTGCGGCACTGCAGCGCACAGGCAGAGGCAGCCCAGTAGCAGGGTTGCACCCCTGCAGGGTCGCCGCATTTGTAAGATGCTGATGTTAAGAGTTCAGAGCATTGCACGCGGGGTTGGGCTGCCAACGGGGTGTCCTAGGGTTTGACGTCAGCAAGGGGGAGGCGCGCCGACATGCTCAGGAGCCCTGTGTGTAATCGGCCCGGGATGGCCCTGACGTGTTTAGTTGGGTTTGTGCCCATGCATGCATATGCCCCGTCAGCGGCGCCGTCAGCGGCGCTCCACCCTGACACTCAACGGGTTTCGCGTACGAGGAGAGGGTCCAATGGGGGTGGCCGGCCTTTTTGCTTTCTTGCGCCGCAGGTGCGCATATCGTGGTCACGAAGCGCGCCATGTGCTTGTTGCCGGTGGCCATGTGCCGCTGCTGTCTGCCTTGGAGGGGGCTGGGATGGCTGATGGGCCAGCTTGGGGAGGAGAGGGCCCCAAAGGAAGCCTTGAGCATGAGTACAAGCCGCTGGGCGGGCGCCTCGCCCGCCCGCCTTTCGCCTCGCCCTCAGGTATCCCGAGATTGTGGAGCAGTGCGCACAACAGCCCAACGAGTTACATGAAGGAGCGACTCAGTGCGATAATCTCTACGTAAGAGCGCAGCACACCCTTGGAAGCAGTGCCTCTTGTGCACGCAACGCTGCAACATGCTTCATGTCCCTTGATTTTTCAATGCAGATCGATCTGAACCACATCATCCATGTGAGAAACCGCCGCATGCACTGCCGTGAGCCGCGGCAGCCGAGCCCTGGCGACGCCACGCTCGACTCTGCCTGCTGTTCGTCGCGCCGCGTGCGTGTGCGCCGCCTGATGCATGACGAGCCCCAAGATTGGTGCATGCCGTAGGCCTGCACCCACCCTTCCTGGCGAGCAGCACCGCATGCATCTCAAGAGGAGATGTTCTGCGAAATTGACCTGTACATTCACCGGCTCGTCGGCGTATTGCGTCCCACCCAGCTGCTGCTTGTGGCAATGGACGGCGTGGCCCCCGCAGCGAAGATGGCACAACAACGCGGCCGCCGCTTCTATGCTGCGCACCTGGAGCACCAGAAGCGAGAGATCGAGCGGCAGGCAAGCACGCCCTTACCTACAAACAAGATGCTTTCTTTCAGCCTGCCACCCCGTGAACCAGCCTGTCGGCACATGTGCAGGTGCGCCGCGAGATGGCGGCTGAGACGGGTGGTGCCGAGATTCCGCAGCTTCCGTCGTTCGATTCAAGTGTTATTACACCAGGTGCTATTGCACGTGGTGGTGTGGCGAGGTCTGGCCGGCATCCAAATGCCCATATCCTCCGCCTAATTCCTGTTTGTTGTCCCAACTTGTCCTTCCAGGCACGCCGTTCATGAAGGACCTCAGCCAGCATTTGCACCATTTTTTCCGCCAGAAGCTGGAATGCGATCCCGAGTGGCAGCACCTCACCGTGGGTGTAGCAGATGCTTGCGTGCTTGCCAGCTGATGGGCTACTTCTGCACATGGCATGCGGTGTGGGGGTTACAGCTACCGCTGCGCCATGACAGAGTGCAGTAGTGCGCCAAGCCGCCGTCACCCTTTGCCCAGCTGCACCTCGGCCTGCCGCCGCATGCTGGGCACTGCCTGCAGCTCATTTTCAGCGACAGCAGCGAGCCGGGCGAAGGGGAGCACAAGGTGATGCGGTTCATCCGCCAGCAGCGCACGCACCCGGACTACAACCCCAACACCCGCCACTGCGTCTACGGCCAGGATGCAGGTGTGAGGGGGCTGGGGCCAGAGGGCGGGCTGGCGCCTGGCCGCGCACCGCAGCAGATGGGTGCGCACCCGTTGCTCGTGCCCTTCTTAATTGCAGACCTGATTTTGCTGGGCCTTCTGACCCACGAGCCGCACTTTTGCATCCTGCGTGAGTCGGGCACGCTGGATGAGCTGCTGCGCGAGGAGGAGGAGGCGGGCGGTTGGGACGAGAGCATCGTGTGGAGCCTGGTAAGCTAGTTCACCAACTACAGAACCCAGGGGTACCACTGCCCTGCCCATCTTGCAATGCCTGTTGTGTGCCCGTGCCGGCGGCGCTGCAGGTGGGGCAGCAGCCTCTTGAGCTGCTGAACCTCCGTACTCTCAGAGATTTCCTGCTTTTTGAGTTTTGCGCGCATGGCAGTGAAGAGCATGCACAGCAGCAGGGGCGCGCAGTGGAGCAAAGGCCAGAGCAGCCGGCTGCCGCTGGTGAAGATTGCAGCACGGGGGAGCAACCGAGCGTGCAGGCCCGCGCGCAGCAGAGTGCCACGGCTGCCAACAGTAGCAGTGAGGCTGTCGCCAGCTGCTGCGATTTTGAGCGGATCGTGGATGATGTGGTGTTCATTTCCTTTCTGGCGGGAACTGATTTCGCTCCACATGTCCCCTCTGTGGAGATTTACGACCGCCCCAAGTCGGGGATGGAGGCGCTTTTTGACAAATACAAGGTGCTAACAAGAACCAAAAAGCCCTCTTTTTAGCCCGCATGCTGTACGTATTTGCAGGGCAAGAATGAAATGATGCGTGGGGCAGCATCAGACAAGTGCGCGTCCTGCGTCCCTGCCATCGCAGGAGCTGCAGGGCGGCAGCGGCGGCAAGCGCGGCGGCTACTTGACCAACAGCGGGAGGGTTGATGCGGAGAGGCTGTGCGCCCTATTTGCCAAGCTGGGGGCGAACGAGGAGCACACCTTTCAGCTGCGCGAGGTGACCAGGGTCTGGTGGTGGTGGGCATGCCACGGCGGCGCGGCGGTTGTTGGCACCTTTGCACAGAGCTTGCTACCTACGCACCAGGTGCTACCTACGCACAGGGTGCCTTTCTGGTGCTGAGTGCCTTGAAACTGTTTCACATGCAGCTGCGCAAGATGCGGGAGCAGCGACGCAAACTGCAGGATGGGCACCAGGAAGCTGAACATCCTGGTGTCAATTGGATGGGCGGTGGCGAGTGGGTCAGTGCTGGAGAGCTGGCGGAAGGGCAGAGCTTGGATGACGCCCTGGCCGTGGCGGGCATGGCCACTGGTGAGTGGTGCTGGCGAGACGGGGGGGACGGGGAACGGATGGAGATTGTGTTGCAGAACGACTCGTGTGCTGCTAGTGATGCAGCCTGCCTCCTTGCTGCCTGCACCCTTCCATTTGTCCTCACCACCCCGCAGGAGGCAACCCCGAGGTGTCCACAGCGATGCGGTATGCTCACGATGGGGCGCAGCTGCGGCGGGAGCTGCTGCGGCGGGTGAAGGCGCGCATGGATGACCGTGCGCAGGCGGGCATGGAGGCAGACCCGGTGAGGCTGCCTGGCTCCCGTTCCAATCCTGGCCTGATGCAGTGCAGCACTCTGACTGCGAGTACACTTCCCAGCACAGGTGCGGCTGTCAATGCCCGGCTACCGGGCACGCTACTACCGCAAGTGCTTTGCTGTTGGGGATGGGCATGTGGGGGGCCCTGAGCTGGAGAAGCTGGTGAGTAGATGACTTGGAGAGCATGACTCTGCTTCCTGGAATGTGGCATCGGAACGACGGCAACCCTTCCCCTGACTCGGCTTGCGGCTTGGTGGGTGGACTTTACGCCTCGCCCCGCAGGTGCGCGGCATCTGCAGGGACTACTGCCACGCGCTGGTGTGGGTGATGGCCTATTATGCACGTGGATCGCCGCCCGTGCCTCCTCCCTCCAGAAGCGATGCCGGGGCGGAGACTGTCGCAGCACGCACTCGCGGCGGCAAGCGCAGCGGCAGGAGCGGTGGCGGCATCGACACGCCCTACGCATCGTGGCTGTTTCACTACAAGCATCACTATGCACCACTTGCCTCAGACCTGGCCATGTATGGGCGCGAGGCGATGAAGGGCGCGGTGGCGGCAGCTTCCTCTGCCGACAAACCCGTCCAACCGTTTGCGCAGCTCATGGCGGTGCTGCCCTTCTGCAGGCGAGTGAGCAGTGCCTAGGTGGGAGTTGGCAATCACAAAGGGCCCCACCTCCTGCCATCCCACCCGCCCGCCTTGTTGCCTGCAGCATGCCTGCCTGCCTGCCACCGCTACCGGCGCAGGCGGCCGAGGACCCTGACGACGGCCTGCTGGCCCTGCATGGCGGCCAGGCAGGCGGTGGGCTTGATGTGTTCCCGGCGGATCTGACTGCCCTGGTGGATCTGAGTGGCAAGAAGTGGGCCCACACGGTAGGTTGGAGTTTCCAGCTCTGGTGCCTGGGTACGGGGCTGCCAGGTCTGGTCACCCCATCTCATCCCCACTTCCTCTTCCTCTGACTCTTGGCCTTCGTTACTGAGCTGCAGGCCGTCATCCGGCTGCCATTTCCCAATTTGATGGTGTGTACGTGTTTCCCGATTTGACGGTGCGTACGTGTTTGCGCACCCCAAGGCGACGTTTTCTTCTGTCCTGCAGGCCATCTCACACTTTGTACAGCAGCTGCTGGCGGGCGGCAGCAAGGACGAGGAGGTTGAGGAAGGAGAGCGGGGCAGCGGCTGCTGCATGACAGCAGAGGAGCGCAGCAGGAACGACTTCCAGTCCGCCTGGCTGCTCATGAGCAGGTTCCACCCGGCAGCAGCAGGCCTGCTGGGCAGCAGGGAGCTTGGGAGGGAGGCGTGGGCTGACATGACGGACGATGATCTCAATGATGAGCAGGCAGTTTGCTCCACCAGCAGCATCCTGTCGCTGCTGCTGCCACCTCGGGCGACTAGCAGCGGGGATGGCAGCGACCAGCATGCCGTGCCGTGCTTCCCCCTGGACCTTGCTGGCCAGGACGTGCTACCCTTCTCGCCCGGTCTGCTTCCGGGTGCGTAGGGCGCCGGCATGCTGTGGCACAAAGGAATCAGCTGATCGTATCTGTTTGCGTCTTGTATGTGCATGCAGGCACCAAGGAAGGCAAGCGAGCAGTCTCTATGCAGAGCTGGAACAGGCGGAAGCTGGTGGAGCAACGCCGGCAGGCCGAGCGTGCAGCAGCTTCGCTGCGTGGCAGCCGAGGCAGGGGCCGGGACGGCGGTAGGGGCAGGGGAGGGCGCATTCAGAGAGCTGGGAAAGCCCTTGCTGGCGGGGGGGGGTGGCGCAGCGCTTGTGCCGCTTCTTGTCTCGTCGCAGCGGGCAGCTCGTGCGGCAACCAGCCCACACTGGCAGTATGATGCCCTGGCTTGGGAGCCCCCACCGGCGTCCGTCGCATCTCGTAGCTGGTACCGCCCAGACCCGCAACCGCTGGCTGCTGGAGGACGTGCCGGTGCCGGTGTGGCTTCTGGCTGGACAGTGCCCCCACCGCCCATCCTAGGCACCCAGTCCAACAGCAGTGGCGGCGCACATCGCACAGCAGTGGCACCAGCAGCATGTGTTGATGATGGCTTTGCTGGTTCAGCAGGCTGGGACGAGGCAGATGCAGAGCCGTCGGCGGCAGGATTCCAGCATGAGCTGATGCTGGTGACCATGCGTGCACCGCCCTTGGAGGCCCCCGCGAGCACCGGCGCATCTGCTGGCTGGGGCCACACCCCAGGAGGAACCGTCCCAGCAGAGGATGGCGGCGAGGGAGATGAGCTGGAGGACATGCTAGCACTGCTTGGAGTTGGTAGCAACTGTGTCTGATTTTTGTTTGAACGAAGATGAGGTGAATGAGAAGAATCATTCAAAGCCCTGGAAGGGGCCGGTAGCTGCAGGGCTGCCCGAGGGCGGTGCTGCGATCCGCGTCGCGGAGACTCGACCGCTGCCGCCACCAGCCTTCCGTCCAGGCAGAAGTTGCACATGTCGCCCCCGCGCGTCGGCTGCAGCCTGGTGCTGCTGCTGCTGCAGGCGGCGCTGCTGCTGCTGCTGCTGCTGCTGCTCCTGCTCGACAGTCGGCTGCTCGCCAACCCCCGTTGGCGCTGGCGTTTGCTCGGATTGCTGTCTTCCCTCGGCGACAAGTTGAGGCTGTGACGCTCCCTCCACCATAACGCCCTCGCCATTGCCTGATGTGTGCCGCCGGCCATTTGCTGCCGCAGCAATGTCTGCGGCCGTGCCCTCTGTCAGGTGTTCAAGCTCCTCGCTCAATTGCTCCAGCTTCTGCACCCACAAAGGCGGATGGGGAGGGCATGCAGCATGCATTTGGGTGTGGGGCCAACACGGGTTTTAGGGCAGGGCTATAGCGTTGTGCTCCATGGCAGGGCAGCGTACTATACAGTGGCCAAGCAGTACCTTTAGCTGCGCGCCAGCACTCTGCTGCACGAGCGTGTTCAGCTCCCCCGCCAAAAGATCCTTGCGCTGTTGCGCCTCCTCCATCTGCTTCTGCCAGTGCTCCATCTCCTGCTTAGCCTTCCTAAAATTGGTGCGGGCAGCGTCCAGCTGGTGATTCTGCTGCTCGATCAAGCTGCGCAGGTGCTCTAGCGCCTGCAAGAAGGACGATATGTGGTACGAGGTATGAATGCGAGTGGGGCCGGACAGAAAACACTGGAGGGGAGACCGCTTGGTGTGGCGGGAAGGGCCCCACCTGTCGGCGGGGCCCCACATTCACATGCAGCGCCAGCTGCAGCTCGGACAGCTGCTTTTCGACCTCTTGTATCTTTGAACGCTTTTTTGCAATGCTCCTGCAGGCCACCGCTACAGGGGGCGGTGAGCGGCAACAGACACGGGGGACGTGGCTGGCCTCGCCGGCCCGATGCTGCCCCCACACACTCACTGGAGAATCACTCGCTCCTTCTCCTGCAACATCATGTCATACGCGTTGATGGCTGACTGGTCGGCGACACTGGCCGACCTGGCATCCTGCACACACGGGGGCACGGCGTCGGCGGGAAGCCCGCACCCAGCTGAGGCGGGTGGTCATGCACTCTGGTCATGCACTCTATCTCTCTACATCTGGAGTACCCGTGATGATTCCAGGACGTACTTGAGAGGCTGCAGGAGCAGAGAGGGCTGCAGGAGCCGGAGGAGGGACTGGGGCCTGAGCCTGCTGCTGAGGCCCTGGGTGCGGGTGCTCGGCGCTCTGCGACATTGCTATGCACTGGGCGGCAGCGCGGGGCATGAATCGACTAAATACAGTCCCGACGTGCTGTGGAGCAAAGCAGCACGGCATGCTACATCGATGCGTAACCAGGCTGGCCCTGCCAAGGCCTCCTTTAGTGCTGCGCTCTTCTTGAGCCAGCGAGTGCGCTGTGTTGAAGGTCACAAGGACATGACCAGCGTGCGAGCAATGCTGGCACTGGAGCAGCCCGTTGCCAGCTGCTCCTATGCAGTGTACAGCAGTAGCCGCAGGGCTACACGGCGTGCCCTGCCCCGGCGCTACACTGGCCGCACCCATGCCGTCGCGGTGAGTTGCGGCTGCTTGGCCGCCTGCAAGAAGCTCCCCTGGCCTAGTGGGCTCTTTACCCACAGGCGCCTGCTTTGAATGCCTGCGCCGCAGGTGCAGGACGCCCCAGCGGCGGCCGCTGCCGCCGCGGACTTGGGCACCGCTACCCGCGCCGACTTCCCCATTCTGCACCAGAGTGTGAACGAGCGGCCGCTGATGTACCTGGACAATGCAGCCACGTCGCAGAAGCCGCGGCAGGTCCTGCAGACGATGGACGAGTACTATGGCGAGGGCGGATACAACAGCAACGTGCACCGCGGGGTGCACGCCCTGAGCGCACGTGCCACTGCCGCCTACGAGGCCGCCCGCGAGAAGATTGCGGGCTTCATCAACGCCTCCTCGCCTCAGGAGATCGTCTACACACGTAATGCCACGGAGGCCATCAACCTGGTGGCCAACACGTGGGGCGCGGCACAGCTGCGCGAGGGCGACGAGGTGGTGCTGAGCGTGGCGGAGCACCACTCCAACATCGTGCCCTGGCAGCTGCTGGCGCAGCGCAGGGGACTGGTGCTCAAGTTTGCGGAGCTGACCGGCAGCGAGGAGGTGGACCTGGAGAAACTGGCGGCCCTCATCACGCCCCGCACCCGCCTCGTCTCGCTTGTCCACGTGTCCAACATGCTGGGCTGCGTGCTGCCCACGCAGCGCGTGGCAGAGATGGCCCACGGCGTGGGCGCAAAGCTGCTGCTCGACTGCTGCCAATCTGGTGGGGCGGGAGGGAAATGGGAGGGGCAATGGCTGTGCCAGGTGGTGTGTGGCAGCCGGGCGGCGAGCGGCTGGGTTCGGAGTGAAACCAATGATTGCACCTCACAGTGCTTCAAATGCTGGACCCCATCTTGCTGGCCCTGTTTGCAGTGCCCAACATGCCGGTGGATGTGCAGACGCTTGGCGCCGACTGGATTGTGGCCTCTAGCCACAAGATGTGCGGCCCTACAGGCATCGGCTTCCTGTGGGCCCGCTACTCGCTGCTGGAGCAGATGCCGCCGTGGATGGGTGGTGGCGAGATGATTCAGGAGGTGCGGCTGGAGGGCAGCACATATGCGGAGCCGCCCTCGAGGTTCGAGGCGGGCACCCCCGCCATTGCTGAGGCCATCGGGCTTGGTGCCGCCTGCGACTACCTGTCGGGGCTCGGCATGGAGCGTGTGGCGGCGCATGAGCGCGAGCTGGGCGCTCACCTGTATTGGCAGGTGGGTGGCTGGGAGAATGCAGGCGAGGGGCGGCCTGCCCCACCAGGCTGCGCAGGATCCCCTCGCTGCCCCTGTGGCTGTCGTACCACGGACACCGCCCCACCCACCCACCCTGCACCTGCTTGCAGCTGCGGTCGATTGATCGTGTGCGCATCTATGGTCCCAGCCCGGAAGCGCGGCTGGGCCGTGCCGCTCTGGCCACCTTCAATGTTGAGGGCATCCACCCCACAGACATATCCACCATCCTGGACAGCGTGCGTGCGGGCTGTGTGGCTTGCAGGAGGGGTGGGCCTTGCTACTTCTACACATTTGCTGTCCCCGCACCGATTGCTGCAATACTTGACATGCAATACTTTCATGTATTTGTGTGCAGACGGGCGTGGCGGTGCGGTCGGGCCACCTGTGCACGCAGCCGGTGCACCGTCACCTGGGCATCTCCAGCTCGGTGCGTGCATCACCATACATTTACAACACCAAGGCGGAGGTGGATGCGTTTGTGGATGCCCTCAAGGACGCCATTCAGTTTTTCACTTGACATGGGCATGTGACGGGGCACAGCTTCCAGCTGGGAATGCGAGGGGGTGATGTGCCCAGAATGGGTGCATCAACCCTCCTGGGATTGCTGCCAAGCAGGGGTTGCAACTTGGCTCCAGAAACTCCCTGCTCCTTTCATTGTCTTGATCTGCTTGAGTTTATAAATCGCTCTCTAATTTCATCTACACTCCACCCCTCTTTCGTTGACTCTGGAAAACAAACCCTTTGAACGCTTGAACGAATAGCAACAAGAGGAGAATTGCAGAGGCGAAAGCGTGCAAGAGGAGTACAGAGGTGCAGCACGGCGTACATGAAAGCCTGGCAGCCAGACCAACAATGTGCTCGCGGAAACAAGGTTAGCGGTTGAAGAATCCTTTGAGCGCATCCCGAGTCTTGGCCTCCGCTGCTTGTTCCTGCCGCTCCATGCGCTGCAGCTCCTGCTCGCACTCCTCCGCCGTTGACTCATCCAGCTCAGCGCAGATGGCCAGGTCACCACGTGCCGACTCGTACTCACCCAGGCAGGCAGCCACCACGGCGCGACGGAAGTAGGCCTTGGCGTAGCTGTCGTCCTCACTGCAAAGGCGGGCAGCACACAGATGGGGTGGGTGGGATCGTGCAATGAAAGAAGTGACGCAGGTATAGGTCAATGACGACTGCAGGCAGCCAGGCAGCGTCCGCACTTGATTGCTTTGGTGCACCAGCCCAGCGCCTCGCCCCACTCCTGCTCGCGTTCAGCACAGCGCGCCAGGTTGAGCAAGCAGGCAGCCTTGGTGGCAGAGGCCGCCGCAAAATCCTCCTCGCTGTCCAGCTCCAGTGCGCCCCCCACCATCTTGAGGGCCTTTTGGTACTTTTGCCTTGCTAACTTGGTCTTGCCCTGCAACTATGAGCAGCTTTCAGCAGTGCGCCTCCTGGGGCCACCTTCCTCTGGCCCAGTCCTGTCCTGCGCTCTCCTCACACCTGCTTGAACAGCATATTGCCCTGTTCCTTGAGCCGTGCCGCATGCTTCAGCTTATCCGCCCCTGAAAGCGCATGCTGGGTGGGCTCTTTCTCGAAATCAATCAGCTCAACCTCAAACTCCATGCTGCAGCCAGACTGCAGGCTTGACGGGGCATCCAGCCGGCCCTCATAGGCATATTGCCAGCTCGAGGTGAGGGCAGCCACCTCTCCTGGCAGCATCAGGCGCACGCACATATCTAGCGCCTGCACCCATGAGTACCCCAGCGGATTGCGAGGGATGTAAGGGCGCAGGCGTGTTGCAGTGCAGCAAGTGTTCCTTGGCTGCACACAAGTTGAATGCAAGCCAGGCAGCACCACACACCTCGGGCACCTCGCCCATCCCGGTGTCAAACTCCAGCGGAGCTGCCTGGCCATCCTCCCTGCTGTCTAGCGACCACTGCTCCTCGCCCTGTGCTTTCACCCTGCAAGCATATGGGCGTGCTGTCACGAGGCCTTGCCAGGAGTGGCAGAAGGGAGCACAGACATACAGGCATGCACACCACAACCACCAGGAAGGCGCACCTGTAGTGCACGCGAACCCTACTGTCTTCCAAGGGGCAGTCCATGGGGAACTCACCCTCTCCTTTGCGCACAATGCGCTTCACCACCGCGCCATCTCCTGTCATGTCCCGCACCTGCGCCGCAGTGTGGCAGCAGCAACATCGCAGCCGTGTTTGTTGTACATCACGAAGGGTCGCATGCAATTATGTGCGACGAATCACACCCAGGTGGGCCGCGCACCCTGCCAGGCAACCAGCCCTACCTGCGAAAAGTCGAGGAGATGCAGCTTGATCTCTGCATAGCTCTGTGCGGTCGCCGGTGCCGTGCCATCGGCAACATCTGGGGGGTCAGGCAGCAGCTTGCTGCCGTACAATTGGCTAGTGGGGCAGTACGCCACCGCCTCCTGCTGCCGCTGCATGGCTGACAGGGCTGTCTCCACGCCTGTAAGCAAATGGTGCAGCGAGCAGCTGTGGCACTAGGCAAGCCAGGTCGGCACAGCAGCACCAAGATCAACAGCAACTGGGAAACGGGGAAAACAGCTGACAAGCACGGGTGCCAGTGCCTGGATCACCCATACCTGGCGGCAGCTGCCCTGCGCCCAGTGGGCATGCCAATGGCTCGCCATTGGTACTGCTGAAGTACGAGTCGCCCTCATCCTGCCGCCCGGTGGTGGAGCCGGTGCGTGCGTTGATGTGCAGCGAGACATCGAAGGGCAGGCGGGGTGACTCCCAGCCTTGCCCTGGCCGCAGCGTGCGCAGGAAGACATCGCTGGCAGGGCCCACGCACTTGACGCTGCTGCCCGGGTACCAGCTGGTGAGCTGCACGTGGCACAAGGCAGATACGGTGTGGGGAGCAGCAAACCCAGCAACAATGCCAACGCTGGCACTTGAGCATGCATCGCATGCAAACTCTGCAGAAAAACAAAGTAAAAAAATCTGTCCCCGCCACCTGCCAGCAGCCGACACTCACTGTGACATCTGCCACAACCGGCGCCTCCCTCCGCAGGCCCTGCGGCAGCGGCAGGCCGCTGTCCTTATGCAGGAAAGCGTAGTCGGGCTTGATGTTTAGCATGGCCCGCTCCCCTCGCCGCATCTCTGCACCGTACAGTACAGAAAGCAATGTGCCGGCAATGGGCGGGCAGTGCTTCGGCCACCAGTCACACCAAGCAGGCAGCTGTATACCAAACATGCCACTCACCTAGCACGCCCAGCTCCATGCCGCGCAGCATTCGCCGCCCGCGCCCAACCACAAACGGCTGCGGCCGGCCGCTGCCGCCATGCTCGTGCAGAGTGGAGCGGAGTACCTGTCGGTGTTCATCCAGCAGGCTGTAGTGCAAGAATACCTGCGGGGGCAGGGCAAAGCAGGGTGGCGGAGCCATGGCCCACTGCCGTAGTTTACCTGCCAGACGCAAGCTTGAGCTGGCAACGCGACATACCAAGTCTCCCTCCTGCGGTGTTGCCTCTCCTTCCCCCGGCTCTACAGTGCCCTTCAGCACAGCTCCGCCCTTCATGTCCTCCTCCTCCCTGTAGCAGCCCAAGGTGGCCGGCCTCGCGAAGGCAGCGGGTGGCGGCGCGCAGCGAAGAGCGGCAGAGAACGCTACCCACAGGGAATGCGGCGCAGGTTCCAAATTTCAACAAGCCGTCGTGGGACTGCCAGATTGAACATTCGGAGCGCTCCGCGCTGAAGGTTACCAGCAGGATCACCAGAAATCACCTGAACTTGGCCGCGTCGTCCACGCCCAGCTCCTTGTCGTCCACATCGGGATCCACCGATGTGGGCTCCTGCAGGCCGACCCGAAGCTTCTGCAGGTAGGCCGCCAGCCCCGCACCCGCCATGTGCGGCCCGCTCCACTGCCAATTAACAAGTTGAAAAGACAAGAAGAAAGGGCCGAAGGAGGACGCTCGCATCCTTCCAGCATGGTGTCGTCGAGCATGCTTGACGACTGGGGGGGTCCGCCGTAGCAAAGCGCGCACACCAGGCACAGCACCGGCTGGCCGGAACCAAAACAGGGTAGGACGTGGCCTCCGCAATGTGCTGCATTGCTGCAAGAAAATGTGGACCATGCACTGCCAACGACCCGAGCTGGATTGCCGCTCGCACCTTCTTGAGCCGCCCGCGCCCCCCCCGCCCCATTGTGGTCGCTGGTTGCCGTGCATGCGGCACAGTCACACACCTCATGCATGAAAATGATTTGCAATGAGCTGGTGCACACGACAGACCGGGGAGACTTGCGGATGCAATGAAGGAGAAAATGGAGCAGCACCAGGAATGGATGCAACACCTGGGGGGCCTCGTAACTGGACTGTGAGCCTCTTCCCAGTTGCAGTATCCCATTCGGGCTTCGTTACTGACACAGCAGCAATGGATCCCCGCCAGTGCACTACAGCGACCGCCAAGGATAGGTGAAATTCATTCATCCCGGCGGCGGGGCGCACATGTGGCGCGAGCTGCCAGCCCGGCACATCTCCCCCAATCACCCTCGTCTTCTTCTTCTTCTTCTTCGTGACCATGACAGCTGGTTCGCAGGAATGGGCGTGCCTGCCCAGCCCCTGTATCCTGCAGGTGTTCTGCCTGGCGGAGTCGAGCAAGGATGCCCTGGCGTGGCGCCTGGCCTGCAAAAGCTTCCACGCCGTGTGCGGCAAGGTGGACATGCTCAAGCTGCGGGTACTGGGCGACGCCAAGGCCGCCGTCAGCGAGCTCGACTCCTCGGCCGGCGACTTCTCCACCTGGTTCGGCCTGGACCTGGACTTTGCACCCATGGAGCTGGTTCAGCAGGTGGGAGGGCGGCGCAGCAGCCCGCGAACCCGCCGCCGCTGGACGGGGCAGGAAACCTGCCGACACCCGCCGAGGGGGTTATCCTCTTCTTCATCCGCGCGGCATGCGCCCTCCCTCTCCTCTACCCTGCAGGGCCGCCTCACGTCGCCTTTCGTGCTTCGGCCAGAGCAGGCCAAGCTTGTGGAGCGCGTGATGAAGGCAAGGCCGTTGTTTGCCCTTCGATGCAGCAGCCCAGCCTTTCCAGATGACAGCCCATCATCCAGCTCACTGGGTGGCAGCCTCCTGCTGCCACATACAGCCATTTATTGACCTGGGTGCTGACATGATGTGCTGACCCTCTTCCGCCCGCTTCCCCTCCATCGGTCCCTTCTGCAGCACCTGCACGCGGGCGTCCGCTGGGCGCGGCTGGCAGAGCCTGCATCCTTCTGCCTGCCCTACCATCTGCACAAGCTGGCGGCGGTGGTGACGCTGGAGCTGGTGCTCAACCCGGCAGTGGAGGAGGTGGTGTTTGCGTCGGCTGCCTTCCTGCAGCTGCACAGCCTGCGGCGGCTGACATTTCAGGGCCGCCTGCCGCAGCACCGCCGCCGCGTGAACCGCCGCGCGCTCCCGCACCTGAGCCGTAGCGTGATGCACCTGGCGGCGCACGGCCTCAACATCACCGCAACCGACTGGTGCCACTTCCGCCACATCCAGACCATGGACCTCAGCCACTCCGGTTCGTGGCGTGTGGCTTGGTCAGGCTGCCTCGGCCGGCTGCGCCAGCTTGCAGCAGTGGGCCGGGTGGTGGCGGCAAGCTGTAGACCGTGGGCACCAGTTCAGCGATGCTTGTGGCCTCTCGCCGGCTCCTGCCTGCAGATGTGCGCTTTGGACCCTATTGCGGAGCGCTGCTGCACAACCTGTCCGAGCTCGTGTTGCGCAGCGCCAGCCTGGAGCTGTCCAGCCCGGCTCTGTTTGAGGACATGTTGAGGCTGCGCCGGCTGGACATGCAGGGCTGCACCAGCAGCCGCACTGGCAGCTGGCTGAGCCGCGTGCTGGGCAGCAACTCGGATGTGGTGGCACTGCCAGAGGGCCTGGTGTCGCTGCAGGCCATTGGCTGCAACGTGTTTGATAAATGCGTGCTGGAGCTGGGGGCAGCGACGGGGCTGCAGCTGCTGGAGGTTAGCAGCAGCGTGCAGCTGCCCGCCACGCTCAAGCACGCGGCGCACGGCGCTGTGCTTGGCTTGCACATTGCGGAGGAGGGCCAGGTGAGGCTGGCGGCAGGCTGGCGGAGCGAGCACCTGCATGTGCAGCACCAGCAGCCCGGCGGATGCCTCGTCGCTCTGGCTACTAGATCTGCCACCGATCTGCCACCATGTGCAGGCGGCAGTGGTTGTGCTGGGCGGCGGCTTTGCTGTCACCAAGTGCTCACTCCGCTCTGCCCCTGCACCAACTGCCGCAGGTGGTCACTCGCCACGGCCGCGACAATGTGAGCGTCAAGGCGTGCCTCGTTGACAGGCTTGCCGCCATCCGGCGGCTTTCCGGGTGGGGGTTGGGGCGCAGCACTCTGGGGGTGGTGGGCCAGATGGGCGAGCTGCGGGAGCTGTGCCTGCTGGGCGGCGAGCGGCGGCGGCTGGAGCTGGAGCTGGAGCTGCCGGCGGTGGAGACGGTGCGGGTGGAGGGCTACCAGATCATTCAGGTGAGGCGAGGCCTTCCATGCAGGTGGCAGCATTCGAGTATGCTCGCCCCTAGGTAGCAACCGGCTTCCAACAAGTGTTCTCCGATTGTTTTGGTGCAGCTGCGTCTGCCGGTCTGCCTCAGCTTGCACACGGTCGTTCTATCGGGGCACGGCGTGTGCCAGCAGCTGGCGCTGCCGCCCTCCACCCGAGTGCTGGTGCTGGACAACGTCATGCGCGACGCCCGCGCGCTGGCCCTCTCCACCATGGTGCCACGCTTGAAGACGGTTGTGCTGGGCATCGGCCACCTGCCTGCCAGCCTGCCCGCCACGGTGGAGCGGCTGGCGGTCGTGGGGGAGCCGCGCGATGGCGCGCTGGGGCAGGCTTACGCCGGGCTGCAGGTTGGTTGCCGCCTTTGTTGTGCAAACGGCGTGCACGTTTTGGACGATCATGCCTTTGTGAGCACCTCCCGAGCGAGCTGTCGCACGTCCTGGTGCGTACCCTGTCTCCTGTGCCTGCAGGCACTGCTGCCACAGCTGCCCAACCTGAAGGAGCTGCGCGTGTCCTCTGGCGAGGCTCTGCTGCCGGAGGCTGTGGCAGCCCTTCTTCCCGCTGGCTGCCAGTTCAGCACCGCCGGCGTGCCGCGCAAGGGCGCCGGCGTCGACTGCTGGGGGCGCAGCCTGCACCAGACGGCGCAGCTGAGCATGGAGTGGTGCGAGAGCCTGGTGACCACCGAGGGCCTGAACCTGGCGGCGCTGGAGGCGGGCGCCGACAGCCAGCTGGCTCGCCAGATCAGCCGCGTGCTGGTGAGCTGACCCGGAGCACAAACCGTTTTTGCAGAACAAACCATCACTGACAATGAATGCACGCCCGAGTTGCCAAGATCTCTTCCCTTTCCTGGGACCCAAGTTTTTCCTTAGCTGATTTTCTGGACCAGGGCACCAATCAGGGCATGGTCCACCACCCGCAATGAGCCACTGTCGTTCCAACCCCAACCCCTGGTCGTCGTGCGTTGAAGAGCCCGCTCTGTGTCATTTTTGTGCATCATTCCTGCATCTTGTTTTTCAATGGGAGGCAACCTTGACAAAGCTTCAGTGAGAGCGTGAAGTTTTAACGAAGGCATGGCGACAGACACAAGGTGACATTTGAGTGGGGTGTGTGGGCGGGGGGGTGGGGTGGGGTGGGTGGGTGGTTGTGTGGAGGGGATGGGGCTGGGTGCGTTGGCCTGGCTGGCCCTGGCGGCCGGGCTGCCACCTGGGTGGGTGGTTGCGTGCACAGCTGTGTCCTGGCGGCTTTCCCTGGCGGGTGTTGCGGGTCCCAGCCACGCACGGCCGGCGACTGGCTTCGTGACTTTTCCATGCATGAAGGCAGGCGCCGGCCCCCAGCTCTGCCGCCACCTGCCGCACGCCACTTGCCGCCAGATGCAAGGCCGTTTTCCATCCCTTTTAGCACCCAAACCCCACCCACGCACGTCCACCCGCAGTCCCCACCCACCCCACCCCCAGTTCTTCCCCGTTCGCAACCCGCTTTCCTTGCGTGGGACGTTGCAGAGCCAGCACGGGTGGGTGGGGTGGGTGGGTGAGGTGGGTTTCTGGGTGGGTGTCTGCCCCTGGTTGGTGGGTGGTCCCTGGGTGGGCCGGGTGGTCCCCGGGTGGCCACCTGGGTGGCCGGGTGGGTGCAAGAGCTCCCCCCGCGGGGGGGCAGGCCGCCGCTGTTTGCCCAAGCCGCCCCCCCCCCCCACCCCACCGTCCCCGCACCGGCAAGCTTTGCCCGAATGTCCCAACAGCCCTTTCCCTCTTGCAGGGCTCAAGGCTGCCAAGACCATGGCCAAAACGCGGTTCGGTTCATTGGCGGGCATATGCATGCTGTCTTGCATTACATTCTCACGCCTGCGTCCGCATCTCTTAGCCCTGTCCCCCTCGCTCGACCCTCCATGCCCCCCTGTCCTGACCTGCACGCGGCGGCGGCGTTCCAGCAGCAGCAGCAGCAGCAGCAGCAGCAGCAGCCCCTGCCAGGAAGGCTCCTAAAGAGGCTGGGGCCGCAGCTACACAGAACAATGATACACAGCTGGGTTGCAACACAGGACACAGCGACGGCGGGGCAGGCACCAGCGGCGGCTCTCCTGGAACACTCCTGCAGGTCGCTAGTCAGGCGGCGTCGCAATTGTCACCCATGTGCTGTGCGCTGCGCTGATCGTGCCAGCCGGCGCTCCAGGGGAGCAGAGCCAGCCGGCGCTCCATGGTGAATGTCGGGGCTGGCTCTGCCGTGTCTGATGCCTGCAAATAAATTGAAAGTGATTGGAGAATAGGCAAGGCTTCCTGCTGCCCATGCATGGTCGAACGCCACGCGGGCAGAGCCGCAAGCGTGTACAGCAAGATTCTTTGGAGCTACAAAGTGCTGAACTTCCCTGAAGGCCGGCTCACCACTGCTGCCGAGTGTCGAGCTGGGAGCTTTGCAGGCCGGCTCCTGAAACAGTCCCCCCCCTTGAGCGTCACCATGGGCTGCACAAGCTCCAAGCCCGAGGGCGGACCAGAGACCGCCACCAAGGTGCGATTTGTTGGCTACTTGCCGCAACTTGCTCCTGAGCGAGAGAGAGATCGCGCGACAGATGTGAAGGGCTTGTTGTTTGCAGGCCGCCCCGCCTCCCAAGGCGGCAGTGACGCAGTCCGGCAACAGCAAGCAGCAGGGACCCGTCGGCAACACGGTCCTGGGCAAGCCGCTGTCGGTGAGCCCCGCCCCTCCCGCCGCCGCCGCCACCTCCGCAGAACAAAGCCTGCCCCTAGCGCCCCTGTGACACATGCTGCTGCTTCAGCTGTCATGCTGTCGTGAGGGCCAGCCTGCAACTTCCAGCAGGTGCCACCACCAGCAGGCCGGACACCTGCCTCGTCCCCGAGGTGCCTCTGCCGCTCGCTGCGGTACCCCGCCTGCCACGCTCACCTGATCCAGTGCTGCCATGGTGCAGGACGTGTCGGCCGAGTACACGCTGGGCAAGGTGCTGGGTCGCGGCCAGTTTGGCACCACACGCATCGCAGACCGCAAGGGGCATCAGCAGAGCTTTGCCTGCAAGTCGATCGCCAAGCGCAAGCTCACGTGAGCTGGGGGCAGCAGCAACATGGGGGGTACGGGCTTGGCATTGGAGAGCAGATTCAAGACCGTACCCAGGGGTACCCCTGTCGTTTTGTACAGCGCACGCACCAGCATCCAAGGCATGGTGTTGTGTGAGCTGCGGCCCAGCCCTGCGCCGCTGCGCCATCCATCTGCGTGCAGGTGCCAGGAGGACATCGACGACGTGCGGCGGGAGGTGCAGATCATGCATCACCTCAAGGGCCACGAGAACATCACCTTCCTGCAGGGCGCATACGAGGACCGGCAGGCGGTGCACTTGGTCATGGACCTCTGCTCTGGCGGAGAGCTGTTCGACAGGTGTGTGCATGTGCGAGTTTGAAGTTAGGGCCGACTGTGGTGTGGTCGTGCCCTTGCTCGGGCACGAGCTGCACTGCACCACTCTGTGCCGCCACCCCTGCACCAGCTGTATCTCGGTAGGCTTCAACATGGGACTTCGTGTGCACCTGCAGGATTGTGGCCAAGGGCAACTACAGCGAGAAGGACGCATCGACATTGGTCCGTGATATTGTCAAGGTGGTGGCCCACTGCCACTCCATGGGCGTCATGCACAGGTGGGCTTGTGGGTGTAGATCTATTCGTGATTATCAGTGGCGGCTGCTGTCTTGTGGAGTCCTTGGCTCGCATCCCCTTTCTTGCCGCCCCGACTCCCCCTGGCTCGCCTGCTCACGTGCTTGGTCCTGCAGGGATCTGAAGCCTGAGAACTTCCTCCTGGAAAGCAAGGCGGAGGATGCGAGCATCAAGTGCACTGACTTTGGGCTGTCCGTCTTCTTCAAGCCTGGCCAGAAGTTCAAGGAGGTGCGGAGCGAGCCAGCTGGTGCATGCTGGGTGTGCATGATGCGCGACATCACGACAAATTGGCTCACGGCACAGGGACAGTCTTTCCCTGGTACCATTCGGACGGTGTGTGTATGCTGCCCCCTCTCCCTGCCCACAGGTGGTGGGCTCCGCCTACTACGTGGCGCCCGAGGTGCTGAAGCAGAGCTACAGCATGGAGGCCGACATCTGGAGCTGCGGCGTCATCCTGTACATCCTGCTCAGTGGCGTGCCGCCCTTCTGGGGCGAGACTGAGAAGCAGATCTTCAAGGCCATCCTGGAGGTGCGGATGTGATGTGGGAGTGGCGCAGCTGGTGGCAGCAGGGGACAGGAACAGGATGGTGTTTGCCGACACGACGAGGCTGCCATCGCTGGGGTGGGAGCCTCGACTGCATGCCGTCGTCTTCCCACCCACTGATTCGCCTCATTGTGTGTCTATACATTGTTGCTGCTGCTGTCAAATGTCTGTGCAGGGCAAACTGGACCTGCAGAGCGACCCATGGCCTAAGATCAGCGCGGAGGCCAAGGACTGCGTGCAACGCATGCTCGAGCCGCGCCCATCTAAGCGCGCCACGGCTGACGAGATCCTGCAGCACCCGTGGATGCGCGAGAATGGTGTGGCTACCGACAAGCCCTTGGACAATGTCATCCTCAAGCGCATGACGTGAGGTTGGGGGATGCAGCTGAGGGCCGGGCGCTCCGGGGGGGGGGGCCGGGGGCGCAGCAGTGCTTCACTGCCATGCTGCTGCTTGCTGGCGCAGCGATGCCCATTTGGTACGCCCCTTACCCTACTTTCAAACCCCGCTTCTGCCTCCGTAGCAACTTTGCCAACCACAACAAGCTGAAGCGCCAGGCCATGAAGGTCATCGCCAGCGCCATGCCGGTCGATGAAATTGCGGGACTGGCCGAGATCTTCAAGTCCATTGACGCCGACGGGTCAGGCACCATCACTGCGGACGAGCTGAGCACAGCGCTCAAGAACAAGGGCAGTCTACTAAAGAAGGTGGGGCATCACTGCTGTTTTGCGATAGGAGTGCGAGGAAGGTGTGAGAGGGGAGATTGTGTATCTTTGCTGCAGCGCTGCAGTGCTTAGAACATTTGGCTGGGCGTGGGTATGCAGGAGGACCTGGAGGGGCTGTTAGCGCTGATTGACCAGGATGCCTCAGGATGCATCGACTATGAGGTGGGTCAGTGGAAAACATCCCTGCCCGCCAACGCGCCAGGACTAAGCGGTGGCATTTGTTATTAACAAGCTCCTGACCCTGCGCAATGCCGCAGGAGTTCCTGGCTGCTACGCTGAGCCAGCACCAGATGGAGAAGGCTGAGAACATGCGGGCTGCCTTCCTGCATTTTGACAAGGACGGCAGTGGCACCATCAGCAGGGATGAACTGCGAGAGGCGCTCAAGGTGTGTATTGGGCATCGGTGGCCCTATTGCTGCAATATGTCGGCACGCAGAGCAGATGTGCACGATGCTGGCTCATACGACTCCCTGTTTTGAGAGGGAGTTTCTGCGCTTCTTTAAAACGTACCTGCCATGCCATCCACCACCCATCACCATCCTGCAGACCGGCTTCACTGGCAGCTTGGACGAGGAGGTTGAGAAGATCTTGGACGAGGTGGACAAGAATGGTGAGTGCGAAAGCGGGAGCAGGCACTTGATAAGCTTGGCATTAGGGTTGGGCCGGCCGGTGTTGTTGCAGCCAGTTCTTGTCTCCCCTGGCTTTCTGCCGCAGGCGACGGCCAAATTGACTATGACGAGTTTGTGGCACTGATGACGGGCCAGGCAGGTAGGTGGCTTCCTACGGCTGCTCCCGATCTGCACAATCGCCCCGCCTGCCTGCTGGGCAGCCCTGCACCATGCTAGATGCCCAATGGGCTCGAGTACCTGCGCACATTGCACTTTTTTTTTCCAACCTGGTTGGCCTCATCCCGGCATCCTTCTCTTCCTCCCTCATTTGCTGCAGAGAAAAAGGCAGCACAGCGCGGCCTGTCCAAGCGCATCGAGTCGCGTGGCAATCTGAATGCATACAAGGCTAAACACAGCCTGAAGTTCTAGAGGCCAGCGGCAGGGCTTTATGGACCTTCTAACCAAGGCATGGGGCATGCGATAAACCGGCCTGCCACACCTGTCTTCACACATGCATTATTTATTCCTGTTGACATCCCACTTTCCTTCCATTAGGCCATACCGACTGCGCCCCCTTTGTTGCACTTTCCCGGTAAGCTGTGAACCCATTGACACCTCGCATTACAATGTTGGAGAAAATTCAAGAACATGGGGCTGTCACAAACGGGGCCGGCCTTGGCTAGCTAGCGCAGCTCCACCTTCAGCTTGTCAGCAACAGTGCTGCGGTGGCGGGGAGGGGACACGCAGCAGATATGGCTGTTTTGCAGACAGATTGGTCCAACAGCAAGGGGAATCACATGTAAAGTGGCTGGACCCATTCGCTTCCCCTAGCCCACCTGCGAACTTCCTCCTGCAACGCATTGACCTCATCATCTGTCAGCGACCGGTCCATGCTGCGGTATGCAATGCGATAGCAGTGGCTGGTGCGACCCTGCAGGGAGGCAGGCAGGCGGTAGGCTGTCACGTGCTATTTCGTTTGTGAAATACAGAATGACAATGACAATGGCTGGCCTGCTTCTAAGCAAGACTCCATCCAACCCCTTTCTGCCCCTCTACCCCAGGCCAATGTAACCCTCTGCAGCTCAGCCACCTCTACCCACCGTCTTGGGATGGGTGAAGTTGTCGATAAGCTTCACCTCCTCCGCCAGGTCGCCCGCAATGCCGCGCACCACCTCGCACAGGTTGTTCTCCGTGAAGGCATCGGAGATCCAGAAGGCCACGTCCTTGTAGCAGGGGGGGTACTTGCTGTACGACTTGAACCTGCGACGGGCGAAGAAGTCAGCAGCACATGGGCTCCGAAAGTGGGATGACGAATCCCAAAAAAATGAAGGCACAGCAACCGCAGCGAGCACCCCACATCTAAGTCTTCGCTGAGCTGCCTCACTTGATGCTCATGTCTCCAGTCTTGAACTGTTTGAGGAAGCGCTGGTCGGAGGTCCAGAATAGCCGGATGTCCGGGATGTCAAACAGCACCATGGCAAGTCGCTCCAGGCCTAGCCTGCTAGCACGTAGGCAGGGCCAGGGCAGGTGAGCAAAGCGGGTACGGGCGGAGCGTACACAGCCTGCGGCTGCAGGGCGCCTGCCTATCAACAGCCCCAGCAACGGCCCAGCAATAACTTGCATGGATCAGCCAGCGTGCTAGCCGCTGAAGGCGGAACCGGCAGCAGCACGCACCCAAACGCCCACGCCTTTTGATCAGGCCCCGAGTTCTTCTCCAATATCTGCTGCTGCATAACGCCGCAGCCCAATACCTCGAGCCACTCTCCATTGAAGAAAATTTCCAGCTCAAAAGAGGGGTCAGTGAATGGGAAGTAGGCATCGATCCACCGCATCTCAACCTTGCCTGCACAGGCAGTATGGGGACACTGTCGGGCGGAGGCTGGCTTTGGCAGCGCGAGGCGCAATGCTGAGCACTTAGCAGGCTCCCCTATCCCATCCTGCTGCCGCTTCGGTTGTCTCGCCCTTGTAATCGCTAGCTTATCGCCCAAACGGCTTGCCCACCCACCGAACAGGTGCTGCGCCAGACCCTCCAGTGTGCGCTTCAACTCCCCCTCTGCAAACTGCGTAGCTTCCATGCCCGCTGCATGCCAGTCCTCCGGGCTGAACACCCGGACACCCTCCATCTGGTGGAAGACAGGGTAGTGCGTGGCGTCGATGCTGTCACGCCTTCATGGGGAAAAGAGAGAGATGGAGGCAGGGCGGTGGAAAGATGGCACGGGCCATGCAAACGCTTCGGTTTGGCGTCAGCAATGGCTTGTGACACCCCATGCCTGACGAGCAAAAGTCCAGCGGCCCATCGTCCAAACACCATCCATACACCCCACCTGTACACGTCGCCGGTGACTAGAAAAGCTCTGTGGCCCTGGCGCAGCAACTCAGCCTGGTGAGCCGAGGTGTGGCAACGCAGCACGGTGTCAGGAGACACATAGTAGGTGTCATTAGGAGAGCGTGAAATGTGGTCCGCTGGCACCAGCACCTCGTCAAAGTTCTGCGACAAATGGCAGCATTGGGCAGCAACAAGAGATAACACATGGCAGCATTGGGCAGTGAGCGGGGGCACGCAGGCAGACTGCGCCCTGAAACTGGTGCCGAAGTGGGACCCATGCACGCTGCTTGCGCTCACCGCCTTGGCGCTGACGACGGGCGTCAAATTATCAAACTTGGTGAAGGAGCCTGGATGCTGGCGGTCAAAGTAATCGTGGATGGCGGCCTTGATCATGCCAATTGGGTGGGCTGGCTGTTGGTGCAGGTTGATACCGATCTTCTGGAAGATGGAATCGGTGACGTTGTTAGCGGGGTGGTCTGTGATCACCTCTGCAGCGGAACAAGGTACGGGCAAGCGCCAGCGCAATGTGGAGCAAGTCGTAATAGCAGCCGCCAGATGAAAGCAGAAGATAGTGCACATAGGTCCATGCCCTGGGTGCACTGGTCCCGGTGACAAAGCGGCAGCTGCAGCTCTCCGCGCATGCCGAGATCTCTGGCCGAAGATATAATGTGAACATGGCAGTGCAACTTGCTTGCTGCCTGCTGCCGTGCTGCAGTCGTACAAACGCACCATCTCTAGATAGCCTGGGCATTGCTGCAGCTGCAGCCCGGGCCACTGTGCTGCTGAGCTGTCGCCGAGGCGAGCGGGCAGCACCTACAGTCGCAGATAGCGGCAGCGGCAGCAGAGAGCATGTCGTCGGCGGCGGCGGCAGCAGAGAGCATGTCGTCGGCGGCGGCGGCGGCTCCCTCTGGCACCATAGAAGCGCAGCCCCTTCGCTTCCAGTTGGCTCACCTGCCTTCCTCGCTGCTGCTGCAAGCTGCCCAGCGCTGGAAGAGCACGCCCATAGGCTGCGCTGCTGGACTGCATCAATGAAGGGGTGAGCGGGTGAACACCTGCACCAAAAAAGTGCTATCCCGGCAGCTTTCGTGTCCCTGGGAGCCTTACCTAGCTGCCGGACTGCAAAGCTGCATGGTGCTGCGGGCAGCGTGGCGAGCAGCATGGCAGCCGGTTGTGAAGCCGGTTGCCAGTCGCGACACAAGCGTGAGAATTTTTTGTGGGGGCTCAACACACCTTGCGCAGGATGGAAAAATGCCACGCTGTCGACTTCATTTTTGTTAAAAAAACTCCTTCCGTGTCCTTGATCAGCTGTGACTATACCGTGCCTAACAGAACAAATAATTTGCCTAAAAGGAGAAGAGGAGACCTTACCAGTTGTGCTGACCACCACATGGTGCCCGCATTGGCTGCTGCAGCCGGCCCGGTGCTGGCCGCAGATGACCCCACTCTGTGCCATCACGAGGATCTGGTGCACATACAGGCGCAGCTGGGGTGCAGCCTGCAAGACGTCGACCCAGCAATTTTGCACCATCTGGTGGACAGGTCGCGGCAGGCGGGCAACGAAGCTTTTAAGAGCAAACAATACGGTGGTGCGAGAGGGCGAAGTGCACAGGCTTCTTGCGCGGAAGGAAGGCGAAGGGGCATTGCACCCGGCGACTGGCCCTGCCTGAACCCTCCGCGCGTTGCGCACCCTTGCAGAGGCCGTGAAGATGTACAGCCAGGCCATTGCCGGCGAAACGGGCGACCACACACTGTTCGGCAACCGCGCTGCTGCATACCTGGCCCTTGGCCTGTATGAGGAGGCAGCCTGGGATGCGCGCAAGGCGGCAGCTCTCGCCCCAGACTGGCCCAAGGTCTTTTACCGCCTGGGATGCGCCCTGCTGGGCCTCAGTCAGTGGGAACAGGCGGCCCAGGTGCTTCAGCAGGGTCTGTGCCTGGATCCTGGCAATGCCGACATGGCCGCCAAGGCGGCCCAGGCTGAGCGACGTGCTGCAGCCGATGTGGCGGCCCGCCGAGCACAGGCCGACACCGAGCGGCGAGGTGTCGTGGCGCGGCTGCGGGCTGCCCGGCGTCAGGACACACAGCTGGCCATGCTGAACCAGTTCAAGCAGAGCATGACCGGTCCAGACTGGGAGGTGGAGGACCTGGAGTGGTGAGGCCTGGGGTCGTGCCTGTTGGGTGGGCCCGATGCCTGGGGACTAACAGGGAGGCTGTGAAGCTGTTTGGCTGACCCGTTGATGTTCATGCATGCAGGCGACCCACCTTCCTGCCTACCATGAGGCTGAAGCCGGTGCAGGCCGAGGCAGTGCTTGCAGATCCGCGCCGCCGCCTGCTGTCTGGCTACCTGTCGGCGCTGGCGGACCTAGCCGGCCCCAAGCAGGCTCTGCGCATCTTGGAGGACACACCGCGCCTGCAGGTGAGGGGAGTTGCTGGCACTCATCATTGCCAGGCTGCTGCTTCCCTCCCACTGATACGTTCAGCTTCTGACCTATACATTGCACACCCATGGCGGTTTGCAGGCATTCCAGCATGGCATCGCCGCCGCGCTTCGCCAGCAGCCAGGCACGCACGTGCTGGTCCTGGGTGCTGGCGGGGGCATGCTCAGCTTGCTGGCAGCACAAGCAGGAGCGGGCAGGGTAACCGCGGTGGAGCGCAGCCGCATGCTGTACCGCATGGCACGCCAGTGCCTGGAGGCCAATTCCTGGGGGCAGCACGCGGAGCTGGTGGGGAAGGTGCATCTGCTTGACAGGCGGCTGCAGGCGGTGGGGGTGCAGGGAGAGCTAGCGCCTCCAGATGCTGTGCTGGCGCTGGAGCAGCGACGGCAGCAACAGCATGCTGCAGCAGGGGTCCCTCAGGCCGAGGGTCAGCAGGGCAGCAGTCACGGTGTGAGAGATGAGGAACTTGAGGAGGTGGCCACGCTGCTGCCGGAGCGCGCCTCTGTGCTGGTTACAGACCTGTTTGACCATAGCGTTCTGGGCGTGGGCCTGCTGCCAGCGCTGAACTATGCGGCTGAGCGGTTGCTGGCACCCGGGGCGCTTGTGGTGCCACAGCGGGTACAGGTGCGCATGGGAGACTGCAAGAATGTAGGATGCTATAGCAGTACTTTCCCATTCGGGTCATTGCTGCCTGCTGGCTACCCACAGGTGTATGCCGTGCTTCTGGAGCTACGAGTGGGCGAGGTCTGTGGCTTCGACCTGTCAACCCTTGATTCCTACTGGTGGCATCCTGGCACGGAACGCCTGGACCTGTCGCGCCTTCCGTACCGGCGCCTTTCCGCCTGCTTCCCCGTGCACATGCTGGACTTGCAGTCCCGTCTTGACGCTCGCCTGCGCGAGGGCCAAGGTAACAGCGGCAGCAGCAGTGACGGCCACGGTGCAGGCGGCAAGAGCAGCCCGGGTCATGGCGATGCGGCAGCCACGGCGTGGGAGCTTGACAGCACTCTGGAGGTGTCAGTAACTGCCGACGGGCAATGGAACGCCATCGCCTTTTGGTTTGACTTGCACACTCACGCACAGGGTGATGGTGCAGTTATCAGCAGCTGGACAGATGCTGGCGACAAAGGCCAGGGGCACAACTGCGCAGCCGGGGCGGCAGGTGTGGCAGCCCTGCCGACACAGTTGGCCACATCATGGGACCCCGCAGTGCAGTATGTGGACAGCCAGATGCTCCACCGCGGGGCCACAGTCCAGCTGCGAGTACGGCAGGACAGCGGGCAGTATGTCTTCACCACTCGCCCACCGCAGTGCCGCCCACGGCATGCCCTGGGTGAGCACAGCGCCGCTGCCTGTGCTCGCAGCTGTCGTTCATGCAAAGCAGCCGCTCCTGGTCCCTTGTTTGGCAATGCTTGTGACCTGCACCATGTGCGGCCATCTCATCTGCCATCCCCCCCCCCCCCCCCCCCCCCCCGCAGTGCCCCGCTGGCATTTTGACATGGTCCTGGATCAGCAGCGCAATGAGGCATACGAGGCCGCTATCCAGCAGGCGGTGCGCCGCAAACGCGCTGCTGGTTGTGCTGAGCTGCTGGCGCTAGATGTGGGCGCCGGGTCAGGCCTTTTATCCATGATGGCAGCCAGGTGGGGGCTGGGATGAGTTTTATTGGCACCCAGGTGCAAGTGCTCGAGTAGAATCTTCGCCATGCACTTTCCCATCAGACCTCATGCGCAACCATCACATGCACCCGATGCTCTCTGCCTGCCATTACCTGCCCGCTGGGGCTGCAGGGCGGGAGCAGATGAAGTGTATGGCGCTGAAATCAGCGCGCACATGTGCGATGTGGGCAAGGAGGCAACAATCATGAATGGCTTCCTGCGCCGCATCACCATGCTGGACAGGTATCTTAGTGGCAGACCGGAGAATGTGGTTAAGCGGGGCTGATGGGGCATCCAGCGGGCGCTAGGGAGCAAGGGATGGTGGCGGCAGCTCGGGGTGGGCCCTGGGAGCGTGACGGGAGGACCCGTGAACTTACTGTGCTCCAGTGTCAAGCAGGAGCTGCCGGCCCGGCTTTTTTTGCCGCCAGTTATGGCGCTTTTGTGCATCCTCCGTGCTGCAGAGATGTGCGTCGCTTGGACGTCTTCCGCAAGCCCGACGGCACACCGCCTGACCTTCCCCGCCGCGCTGACTTGCTGGTGTACGAGGTGGGCCGGCTGGGGTGCTCTTGCCTGTCCTACATGCGTAGAAGCGGCCACATGAAAGACTGGTTCCAGCCTCAGCGTTTTCTGTCTGGTTGCAGGTGTTCGACTCTGGGTGCATCGGCGAGGGTGTGCTGCACCTGCTGGCGCATGCGCAGGCCAAGCTGGTGGCGGCGGACGCCGAGATGGTGCCGGTGTCTGCACGTGTATACTGCCAGCCCATCCAGATGCGCATCAGCGACGTGCTTGGCTTCGACTGCAGCCAGGCCAACCGGTGGCGGTGGCGTTCCGACTATGAGGGTCTGGAGCTGGGGAAATGCAGGTGCAATTTGATGAGGGCGCATCGGCATCGCCATAGTGCAGCAGCAATGCACCCAGACCCTGATCAACCATACTTTATTCAACCGCAGCTGCTGGTGCTGTGCCCTGGTGCAGGGAGCGGTGGATCCCCCTGGCAGAGCCGATGGAGGCTTTCTTCTTTGACTTCCGCCATGCCGCCACCCACATGCATGTGGAGGAGGCAGTGCTGGATATGCACTTCACTGCTACAGGCGTGTTCAATGCTGTGGCCATGTGGTTTGAGCTGGACCTGGATGAGGAGACAAGCCTCAGGTAGGATGCGAGGATAAACAGGGGCAGGTGGGCACAAGAGCAAGTGTGTTTGATGGCCTGCTCATGGCAATTGCACAGGCTGCTGACCAGGGGTGTCTCCTCGCCCTGTACGCCTGCAGCACCAGCCCCTATGTCGACAAGGGGCCCACCTGGCAGCAGGCGGTGCAGTGGGTGCGGGAGGTGGAGGTGCAGCCCGGGCAGCAGCTGAAGCTGACAGCGCGCCACGACACCTACAGCATCAGCTACAGCTTACCTGACAGGCTCGCTGGCAATGGAGAAACAGGCCGGGCCGTTGCGGTGCAGGCAGTCGCCCAGCAGGTGGTGCAGCTTTCGCCAGATGGCCAGCGCCGCGACGGTGGAGGTGCAGGCGAGGCGGACGCGCCAGGAGTCCCGCAGAGCCAGCCTTGCCCCACGGGCGTGCCTCTCGTGGATCCGGCCTGGCAGGCGGCATTTGACCGGCTGCAAGGCGTGAATGGGCAGCTGGCCAAGGCGTGCATACAGAACCCCCTTGAATACCGGGCCGTGGCGGAGGCGGCGGTGCAGTTTGCGGCTCGCCCGCACGATCTGGAGTTGGATGCACAGCATGCTGCCGAGTTCTGTGTGAAGATGATGGGCTGACTTTGTCAGATGACGTGCACCGCGATTTGAAAAGGTTTCCCATCTGGGTACCAATGTTTGCCGCTCGTACTGCTGAACTCCTCACTGTCAATTCTAAATCACGCGTTCGAGGATTTTGTCTTTTTCTTCTGCCGAGTGCTGTAAATCGACGTACGCTACGAGTATGAGAGCTGTGACCGCACTCGCTGCAAAGCCTGGGGGGTGCGGCACGCGCCCTGAGCCGCCTCCACTCACGGCTACCACCACCGTGACAAGACGGGAGCTGTGTTGGTCTGCCATTGCTGCGGCTGCCGCCGCTGCGCTGGCCCCACCCGCCCTGGCGGCGGCGACCCGGGCTGGCCGGCCGGAGGTGATGGAGCTAGAGAAGGCCTACGACCGCTACGCAGGTGCCAAGCCATAATCTTCCAGCCTTGGATTTCTCACCCCGATGGAATTGGCAGTGGCAAAACTCTCGAGTCCACGCTGATGATGGACCACCTTCCCCGCCTCCTCGTCCTGCAGCAACCTACGATCTCCTTGATGGCGGAGACGCAGCCGAACAGCTCGGCTTCCCTGCCCTGCGCCAACAGCTGCTGCGCAGGGCGCAGGGCGCGGTGCTGGAGACGGCTATCGGGACTGGCCTCAACCTGCCATTCTACGACACTGCTGCGCTGGCGTCGCTCACCGCCATCGACCTCAGCAGCGGCATGCTGGCCCGGGCCCGGCAACGTGCAGAGCAGCTGGGCATGGCAGACAGCGTGCAGCTTGTGCAGGCAGACGTGGAGCACTTGCAGGAGGCGCTAGGGGGGCGTGCCTTTGACACAGTGGTCGACACATTCAGTCTGTGCGTGTTTCCAGACCCAGGAGCAGCTATTCGCGAAATGGCTGCATGCCTGCGGCCTGGCGGTGTGCTGCTGCTGCTGGAGCACAGTCGCAGCGAATTTGGCCCGCTGGGGTGGTACCAGGTGAGCGCCCCACAGCGAGCCAGTGGGTCCGGCAAGCGCGGTCCCGTAAGGCAAAGCAGCCCCTCCCTTCTCTGCTGCCCGGCCTCGTCCTCCCTGGCGCTTCTCACGTGCCTGACCCTGCCTTTGCCTCTGCTGCTCTACGTCCAGGATGTTACAGCGCCTGCGGTGATGGCCGCCGGCAAAGGCTGCCGGTGGAATGACAATGTGTCACAGCACGTGGAGGCAGCAGGTTTGAAGATAAAGCGGGTGGAGAGGCATGTGGCTGGCCTCATAGTTAGCGTAGTGGCGGTCAAACCGTCGGTAGGAGGTGTGCAAGTGTAAGCAATATGCCAAGGCACAAAACACCAGAAGCAAAGGGCAGGAAATAGAGTGGTGATGTACTGCAGGCTGCATGTTGGTCAACAACAAACAAAGAGTGTCAACAGAGAAGAGTGGGCAGAGTCAGTGGCGCTGCTAGAGCAAATTGCAAACAGCAGCACTGGAATGCACCAGCCGTTATGTGGGGAAGGGTGGGCATGCAAGGGTGTGCCAATGGGTTCGTGGTGTTTTATGCTTGAATGCAGCCGACTTGTTGCAGGGCCTGGGCTTTATCTCATCACTGGAGGCCAGGGTCCAAGCCTCGATATCGATGGTGTTCATTTTGGTCAGGGGTGGCCCTTAAAACGAGAACAATATGTTCAGCGAGTTGCAGCCCAGGTCAGCAACTGAGCCATGGCTGCGTTGCTGTCGCCCTGCAGGCATACGTTGAGAAGATGACAATTGCAACAGCACGGTGGATGGATGATCGCTATGCTTTCTTGCATGTGGTGATCACCTGTACCTCTCCAAGCAGATTCATCACTCACCTGCGCCAGCTGCAGGGCCAGGCCCGCAATGGTGACGGCCTCCTCATTGCTATCCACAACGGCACAGCAATCTGCGAGCTGTGCTTGAGCAGAGTGCGGCAGAGGTTGTGTGGTGGGCCTTCCCAGGTCGAAAGCGACAGCGTCGGAGCTGCATGCGTGCTGCTGGGATGAAGAGCGGGAGCAGATACAAACTTCCAGGGAACCCGATGAAATAGCAGTCGGTGACAGAGAAAAGACAGGCTCCAGGAGCTTGGAGCTGCAATGACCAGGGGCGCGAGGGCGCAGAGGGAATGGGGGAGAGCAGTTCCAACCGATGCATGCAGGGTAGGCAGCAGCACGGCCTTGAGTGCGTTCGTTCACCGTGGGTATGCCCCGACGCAGCCGCACCTGTACTCCTCCTCCCCCACGTCAAGGAGCAAGTCGCAGCCCACCCAGGTGGTGGCACTGCCCGTCAGCTCCAGGTCGGAGAAGCTGGACGGGCAATGGGTGGCGGTGTGGGGGGAGGGAAGTCGTGGGGCATGCGTTCCAGGGATGGACGCAGTGGTGACTTGAGAGGGACAGGGCAGGGCGCATATCAGGCCTCAACAGCCACCGCCAACAGCCATAAGCGGCCGGCACCCAAACAGTGCGCTGGCGCACCTGTTGCTACGCCACTTGCTGACATCGCACCAGTCCGGATCCCGCAGCGCGCCCTGCAGGAGGAAGGCAGCGTGCCAACGGCGTTAGGCAGCAATGGCGTGTGGATGCTCCCCACTTCAAGCGCTGGATCTAGAGAGGATCCCCATTTGCGCTGCATGCAACGGTGCTCAGATGGAATTGGCCCGTGCTGTCCACCACTTCACCACAATTGTGCAGTCCTCCATGTTGGCCCCGCCGCCCCCCCAGCTCTCCGCGGATGATGATACACAGTGGAGTACAAATGGATGTGCTAGCCCTCCCACCTGCTGCACTGCCGAATTAGATGTACTTCAAGAGGGCGTTTCGGTACCGGCTCGATGGAGAATCGGCGCCTCTTCAGTGTTCTTTTTGCGAGATCGTCAGTGTTCTTTGTGCTGTTCTGCACCTTTTGGAGGTCACTCGAGGCTCCCCTGTCTCCCGTCCGCAGCGTGACCATCTCATGCAGGGGTGGCCGCCTGGTGAGGGGCCGCCAGCAGTTCTGCCACAGGGCGTCATGCAGCTGGGTGCGGTGCCGTTGGCAGGGCCCGGTGGCCAGGCGGACGCGCTGGGCGGCGCCCCGGGGGCTGGCACAGGGACGGGCAGGCGCAAGGAGGTGAGGAAGAAGAAGGCCTGAGCGCCGCGGCAACTCCCGCTGGCGTGCGCCGACGCCGCACACTCCTGGGGTCCGCCCCGCCCGACGGCGGCCTGCCTGCTAACCTCTGAGGTCCTCCCCTTCTGCCTCTTCCCTGCAGTCTTTCATCAAGGGCAAGGTGAGCGATCACGCCGTGGGGAGCCGCTGCAGCACGGTTTGCTGCTGCTTTTCAGCCACCAAGCAAACTTGCCCAACTTTGCACTGCGATGTTGCAGGTGTTTCTGGGAGGTGTCTCCAACGACACCAACGTGGAGAGCTTGCAGGCATACTGCGGCCAGTGGGGCGAGATCGCCGACGTGCACGTGATGACGGGCAAGGGGTATGCGTTCGTCACCTTCGCAGCGGTGCCCACGGCACAGGCATTCCTCGAGGTGAGGTGACGAGTGCGCGTGCGCCCATGCAGGGCAAGCCTGAAGCAGGCAGCCAGGCAGGCTACGGGCAACGCATATGCAGCCCCTTGCGGCAGCATTTCAAGGCCCCCGTCATGTGATGATCCCTCACAGTCCCTCCATCCTTTGCCGCCCATGTGCTGCAGCACCGCGAGCACTACATTGATGGGCGCAAGGTGGATGCCAAGGCGGCAGTTCCCAAGGACCAGGGTGGTGGTAAGCTGACGCGCAAGATGTTTGTGGGCGGCATCGGCGAGGTGTCAGACGCAGAGTTTCAGGCGCACTTTGCCAACTTTGGGGCCATGGTGGTGAGTGCTCCCTTATCCGCACTGTCAGCTAAGCAGCGGCTGCGTTTGCTGGCACAGCACCCTGCTGACTGTCTGCCCTGCTCATGCCTGCTGTCGCGCTTCTATGCCCCCCCTTTGCGCGCAGGACTGTGTGGTGCTGCGCAAACCTGACGGCAGCCCACGTGGGTTTGGTTTTGTGACGTATGACGACGAGGTGTCTGTGGAGAAGTGCCTGGTGATGGAGCACCACCTGGCGGGTCGGCGTGTGGATGTCAAGCGCGCTGTGAGCAAGGAGCATGACAGTGGCGGCGGAGGCGGTTGTGGCGGCAGCATGACCGCAGGCAGCCGAGGTGGGTAATCAGCAAGCACAGCGATCAAGACTGTGAATTGCCCTCGATCAGGCCTGCCAGCAGCTTGCAGCCGCCGACTGGATCCTGCCTTCTCCAGGTGCGCCTTTGCACGCAGTGTATGCCTTAACAAGAGGCAGGGTTGCACTGCAGGCGGTGGTGGCGGCATGGGCAGCAGTGGCGGTCGACCGCAGGGTGCAGGCAGCGAGGATAAGACGCAAGATTGGACTTGCGCTGAGTGCGGCAACACAAACTACGGACGGCGCCATACCTGCAACAGGTGCGCTTTGTATGAAGTGGGATGTGGCCGTGCCCCCCCCCCCCCA